TTTGGTGAATCTGGGCAATTATGTGTCTTGGAGTTGTTTTTATGAGTATTCTTGTGCATGTTTATTTCCTGATTGATACATAACTGCCTGCTGTTGTGTTCTCTGATGATATCTGAAGAGTGTTTTCCAACTTGCCCCATTTCTACTGTGGCACTCTAACTGATTTGATTTATCTTTTTTTATGACATCCATACTTTTTTTTGTATGGGCTTTGTCTATTTTTCTTTCTTTTTCTTTTGGTTTCTCTCTTGCTTCATTTCATTCATTTGATCTCAATCGCTGATATTTTCTTCCAGTTGATCGCAGTCGCCATTGAAGCTTGCATTTATTGTTTTATTTCTGCAGTGTCATGGTTTTCATCTCTTTCATTTAGTTTATGACCTTCTCTGCATTAATTATTTTAGCCATCAATTCTTCCGTACTTTTTTCAAGACGGTTTCTTTTGCTGCATGAATTCCTTCCTTCAGCTTCTGAGGTGAGGTTTGATAGATTGAAGCCTTCTTTCTTCTCATCTCCTCAGCCATTTTCTTCTTCCGTCTCAGCTTCGATCCAGCACATAGCTTACAGCCTTATTGGGAGATGGGTTTGTATTTTTGAATTTCAGCTTTTCTATATTCCTGCTTTTTCTTGGATCTTTGTGGTTTTATCTGCCTCTGGTCTTTGATGATGGTGACGTACTGATGGGGTTTTGGTGTAGGTGTCCTTCCTGTTTGATAGTTTTCCTTCTAACAGTCAGGACCCTCAGCTGTAGGTCTGTTGGAGATTGCTTGAGGTCCACTCCAGACCCTGTTTGCCTGGGTATCTGCAGCAGAGGCTGCAGAGGATAGAATATTGCTGAACAGCAAGTGTATCTGTCTGATTCTTGCTTTGGAAGCTTCCTCTCAGGGGAGTACTCCACCCTGTGAGGTGTGGGGTGTCAGACTGCCCCTAGTGGGAGATGACTCCCAGTTAGGCTACTCAGGGGTCAGGGACCCTCTTGAGCAGGGAGTCTGTCTCTTCTCAGATCTCAACCTCCGTGTTGGGAGATCCACTGCTCTCTTCAAAGCTGTCAGACAGAGTCGTTTGCATCTGTAGAGGTTTCTGCTGCGTTTGTTATTGTTTACTGTGCCCTGTCCCCAGAGGTGGAGTCTGCAGAGACAGGCAGGTTTCCTTGAGCTGCTGTGAGGTCCACCCAGTTCGAGCTTCCCAGCAGCTTTGTTTACCTACTTAAGCCTCAGCAATGGCGGGTGCCCCTCCCCCAGCCTCGCTGCTGCCTTGACGGTAGATCACAGACTGCTGTGCTAGCAATGAGGGAGGCTCCATGGGTGTGGGACCCTCCCGGCCAGGTGTGGGATATAATCTCCTGGTGTGCCCGTTTCCTGAAAGCGCAGTATTGGGGTGGGAGTTACCCGATTTTCCAGGTGTTGTGTGTTTCAGTTTCCCTGGCTAGGAAAAGGGATTCCCTTCCCCCTTGCGCTTCCCAGGTGAGGCGATGCCTCGCCCTGCTTCAGCTCTCACTGGTCGGGCTGCAGCAGCTGACCAGCACCGATTGTCCAGCACTCCCTAGTGAGATGAACCCAGTACCTCAGTTGAAAATGCAGAAATCACCGGTCTTCTGTGTCGCTCGCGCTGGGAGTTGGAGACTGGAGCTGTTCCTATTCGGCTGTCTTGCTCTGCCCTCCATGTTTTTATTTCATCTTTTTGAGAGATAGTTTTGCTGGGGTTGGAATTCTTGGTTGACAGTCTTTTTGTTTTCAACACTTTGAATATGCCTCTTCACTATCTTCTGGCCTCCATAGTTTTGGATGAGAAGTCAGCTATTAGCTTATTCATGTTCTCTTGTATGTAATTTGTTTTCTCTTGTTGCTTCCAAGATACATTCTTTGTCTTTCACTTCAGTATCTTGGTTATAATATGTCTGCCTGTGGATCTCTGTGTTTATTCTACTTTGAGCTCACTGAACTTGTCAGATGTATAGTTAATATCTTTTATCTAATTTGGGAAGTTTTCAGCCATCATTTCTTTGAGGATTTTTTCTGCTGCTTTCTCATTTTTCCCCAGTTATCATCTCTTGCATCGCAATCCACATATATCAGCACCCCTAATCTTATCTCACTGGTCTCTAAGCCTTTGTTTGGTTTTCTTCATTCTTTTTTCTGTCTTTTCTTCAGTTTGCATAATCTCTATTCATTTATCTTGATGTTTGCTGATTTTTTTCTTCTGTCTGTGCATATCTACTGTTGAGCCTCTAGTGAATTTTTCACTTCAGTTACTGTACTTTTCAGTCTTAGAATTTCCATTTTGTTATTTTCTGAGTTCTGTCTTTTATTCTGTATTTGATGTGACTTTGCTGTCATACCTACCTTTAATTCTTTAAGCATACTTTTCTTCCCTTTGAACATGTTTATAATAGCTGCTTTTAATTGTTAGTGGCTAAGCCCAATGCGTGGGCCCTCTGAAAGGCAGATTTGCCTATCTTGTCCCCCCTGTGAAGAGGTCGCACTTACTTTTGCACGTCTTACTTTTCTGTTGTTCTAAACTGGAGATTTTGGATAATATCTTGTTGCAACTCTGGATATTGATCCCTTCTCTGGGCTGGTAATGTTTGATATTTTTGTTGTTTAGTTATTTAGTGTCTGGTTTGGATTAGTTCTTAATTGCTCACCACCAGGATCTCCATTGTTTTTGCCAGTGTCCTTAGGCTTGAGCTTTTTATGCTCTGTTACAAATAAAGTCATTCTCCTTATGGAGATGTGTGGAGCTCTCTGTTCTTATGGCTTGCCTCTCCTGGGCAGAAGCTTTGCGGCACTGCTCTGTATCTGGGGGCAGGTTCATTAATCTAGTTCTCTTGGAATAACACACCCCTTCTCTATGATTGTGATACTGAAAGGGGTAGTAGTTAGTCCCTGTGCTTAGATTGCCTCTCCTGGAGTGGACCCTCACTCTACCTATGAGCTGGGGTAGGGGTGATTAGAGCTTAGTATTTTCAGCTTGGAATAAGTCTTCCACTCTGTAAGTGGGGACTGGGTGCAGGTCGGTTGCTTCTTGTGTTCTTTCTTTTTCTCTTATTAGCAAACATCAACAGCCAGTGTTCTTTCTTTGCAGCCTTTCTCCCATGACATCCCTTCTGTTCTGCCTTACCTTATGGATTATATCTACTGATGTACCCAGGTGTACCATTTTAATTATTTGGTTAAAATGGTACATCTCATTTCTACCAGTAAGATCCTGAGCTCCTCAGTTATCTCTCAGAATAGTATTGTGGTGTATGGGCTGACATTAAGATTTAATATTATGCGCAGTCTTGACATCTGAAATTGCGAGGTCCTCAAAGGGCCTAACCACAAGTTTACCTGCCAGATATGCCCTCCTCTCTGTGGGAGAGGCTTCCTACACAGCCAGTTCTTCTATCAACGAGACCAACTGCCAACTGTATTCTAATTTATCCAAACTTGTTTCCAGTTTATCTTGTAATTTAAACTATTCAAATTATGTTAAGTGTAGCTACTTTACCTGATATGTAAATTATCTTAACTCATACTTTGGAGCCAGTTTGAGATGAAGCTCAGCAGTCACTTCCTGCTTGTTATGAAATAGGACCCAGAGGTTTGCCAATAAAAAATAAGAAATCAGGGCAACTAATATCAAGGGACCGTTTCAATACAATATGAATCAAACATGGACATAAATATTTCTTTCATTTGCCTCCTCTTCACCCTATTGATGAGGGAGGGATTCCTGGTACTCAGCCTAATAGATTTCCATCCCATGCTAACCTGTGAAATTATTCAAACAAGCCAATCACATCCTCCTACAGAAATAAAAAAAATCACCCTCTCTTCTTGCTGCTGTAAGGCTGCCTCCCATAGTTTCTGTTTACTCATTCTGTTCACATGTACAACCCCCCATGTGGCCCTGCATGACCTGGTGTCTTCCCCAGCTGTGAGTATATGTGACTAATAAATACCATCAGTCTCCTCTGTCCAGTGTTGTATTTAGCCAATCTAGAACCATCAAGCAGGAATCCCTCCCTCATCAATAGGGTGAAGAGGAGGCAAATGAAAGAAATATTTATGTCCATGTTTGATTCATATTGTATTGAAATGGTCCCTTGATATTAGTTGCCCTGATTTCTTATTGGCAAACCTCTGGGTCCTATTTCATAACAAGCAGAAAGTGACTGCTGAGCTTCATCTCAAACTGGCTCCAAAGTATGAGTAAAGATAATTTACATATCAGGTAAAGTAGCTACACTTAACATAATTTGAATAGTTTAAATTACAAGATAAATTGGAAACAAGTTTGGATCTGGATTGTTGAAAAAGAATTGGTGACACCATTAGAAAGTAGGGTAGTCAATTTAGTTTTGGACATACTGAGTTTGATTTGTCAGGAGATCATTTGGTTTGAAGTGTCTTCAAGGCGGATTGAACAAATGGGAAATAGGAAATACAAATTTGGAAGATCTTAAATAATTCATGATTAAAATTATGCCATAAGAGTAGTTAAGCTTTCTGAAGGAGCATTGGTAGAGAGAAAAGCAAAATGTCAAGGATTATTACCTCATGGAATACAATACCAGAAAGAGGCCAATAGAAAATAGCAAAAAGGACAGATATTTTGTTTAAATTCTTACTCTGATTTAGTTCTTACCTCTTCAGTTTCCATTTCCATTTCTTAGTGCCTTTACCATGTCACACTGGATTTTGTTGCACATACATTTAGGATTGCTATGTCTTCTTGGTGGATTGATCCTTAATCATTATGTAAGATTCCTCTTTGTCCCTAGTAATTTTCTTTGTTCTGAAGATTATCTTATATAGCCACTCCTACATAATAGTTCTTTTCTTTCTTCTTCTTCCTCTTTTTCTTCTCCCCCTCCTCCTCCTTTTCTTCTTCTTCTTTCTTCTTCTTCCTCCTCCTCTTTCTTCCTCTTCTTCCTTCTTCTTTTTCTTCTTCTTTTTTTTTTTTTTTTTTTTTCCTGCACGCCCCCCACCTGCTCCCCGTAGCGAGGACCAGTCTCCAAACTCAGGGCAACTTTATTGTCAGTGTGGGCGGGACATTGGGAGGGGCCTCAGTCATGATAGAGGCGCAGGAGGCAGCCACGGAGGGTGCCCATGTAGCGGTCCCAGAGGGCCTGGTGTCTGTAAGAACATGAACAGTGACAGCTGAGTTTTCACAACACTCACCATGGTGGAGGCCCTGCCCTGAGTGCTTTCTACACCGTCACTCATTTTGCCCTTAGAAAATTCTTACAGTTCTTCTCATGATGAACCCCAGTTTGTATATGAGGAAACTGAGGCATGGAGAGGTTAAGAAACCTGCCCCAAATCACACAACTTCTAAGAGGGGGAGCCAGAGCTTTGGTCCTACCCCCAGGGTAGCAGAATGAGGAACCTTGAGTCTGCAGGAGGTGAGGTCCTGGCAGGTGGCAGGCTGGGGCAAGGCCAAGCTAGACAGGAGGACAGGACTGCTCACCGGAAGCCATCGAGGGAGTGGACAGACGCTGAATACTGATTCAGGAAGAACCGCACGTCGCTGAGTGGCCAGTGGTCGGAGCGGCAGGGTTCCACAAACTTCTCCACAAGGTCCACAAACAGGTCTCTGACATCTTTATTGTGAGTCAGCTTGGCGGCCACGTTCACCAGCCCCCGGGACAGGTTCTTGAAGTTGGCTTCCATCTCAGAGAAGACACCCAGCTTTCCCAGGAGAGCAGTGCACACCAGGCTCTTGTGCAGGTCCAGAAGGTCCTTGTCAGCCGCTAGCACCTTGAGTTCCTTCATGTCCTGGAGAAATTCCTTGTCTAAGTCCATGTCCATGTCATCCATCTGCGAGTCGACGGCTCCAAGGGTCCCGTTTTGGATCATGAGCTCAGCACAGAAGGCAAAGTCACCGAAGCTCAGATACTGCAGTTTTTTCTTCCCTGTCTCAAAGCGGTTGTTAGCAAAGAAGACGATGGCTGCATAGTCCCTGGCCAACCGGTCAGAGAGGAGAAAGTGTTGCTGAATATTGTCCACCAGGGAGCCCCGCATTTCCTCTACCACCTTGAAGACTCGCTTAAAGTTGTCAAACTGTCTCCGGCAGCTCTTGAGGGTGATGCCTGTTTTGGTGCTGATGTCATCCAGGTCTTTCTTGGTGCCTTTGGACAGCTTCTTGCCCAGCACCTCCCAAACAAAGGCCTCATCAAAGGCATAGTACCTCTCGATGAGTAGTGCCTGCCGGGAGGGCGGAATCTGGAAGATGAGCTGGTGCAGTAGCTTGGGTGGTGCGTGCAGCAGCCGCTCGAGCATGTGGAAGGTGCGGTAATGGTCCATGGTGTCGCGCTGCAGCACCGCTGCCGTGGCGCCCGTCTGCTCCAGGATTCCCGAGCGCACCCGCAGGGCCACCGCGTCGGTCACCGAGTAACCATCGAGCCAGAGGCGATACACGTCTTCGTCGATAAGGGTAGTGTTCCCCACGAAGATGTCCAGCTCGCTGGTCATGGCGACGCCCGGGGCCGAGGCGGCCCGAGCAGGAGGGAGCACCGCTCGGCCCTGGCCCACTGCCTCCAGGCCACTTCCGGGAGTCTTTTTTTTTTTTTTAAAAAAAGAGATAAGGTCTCACTCTGTTGCCCAGGCCGGAGTGCAGTGATATGATCATAGCTCACAGCAACCTTGAATTCCTGGGCTCAAGCAGTCCTTCTGTCTCACCCTCTGAGTAGCTAGGACTATAGATGCACCCTACCATGCCCAGCTAATCTTTTTTTTTTTTTTTTTTTTTTTTTTTTGTAGAGACAAGGTCTTGCTATGTTGCCCAGGCTGGTTTTCAGCTCCTGGCCTTTCAAAGCCTGATCCTCCCATCTTGACTTTCCAAAGTGCTGGGATTACAGGCATAAGCCACTATACCCAGCCTTTTAATCTGTCTTTTAGTTTCAATCTTTCTATGTCATTGTGTTTGAAGTGAATTTTTTTGTAGACATCATGTAATTGGGTCATTTAAAAAAAACCCACTCTGCTAATATCTGTATTTTAGTTTGTTTATTTATTTTGAGATGGAGTCTCGCTCTGTCACCAGGCTGGAGTATAGTGGTGTGACCTCGGCTCACTGCAACCTCTGCCTCCCAGGTTCAAGCATGCCTCCCTGCCTCAGCCTTCCGAGTAGCTGGGACTACAGGCGCATACCACCATGCCTGGCTAATTTTTGTATTTTTAGTGGGGACAGGCTTTCACCATGTTGGCCAAGATGGTCTCGATCTCTTGACCTTGTGATCCACCTGCCTTGGTCTCCCAAAGTGCTGGGATTATAGGCGTAGTTTGTTTATTTATACCTGAAGTTAATATTGATCTATTATGCCTTAAGTCTGCAATTTTATTATTTATTTTCACGTTATTCCTATTTCTCTTGTCTTGCCTTACTATGGGTTTCATGAACTTATTTTAGAATTTCACTTTATTTATTTTTATTGTTTATTTATTTATTAATTTATGAGATGGAGTCTTGCTCTGTCGCCCAGGCTGGAGTGCAGTGGCACAATCTCGGCTCACTGCAAGCTCCATCTCCCGGGTTCACGCCATTCTTCTACCTCAGCCTCCCAATTAGCTGGGATTACAGGTGTGTGCCATCAGGCCCGGCTAATTGTTTTGTATTTTTGGTAGAGATGGGGTTTCACCATGTTGGCCAGCTGGTTTCAAACTCCTGACCTCTAGTGATCCACCTGCATCAGCCTCCCAAAGTGCTAGGATTATAGGCGTGAGCCACCGAGCCCGGGCCTTGGTGTGGATTTCTTTGGGTTTCCTGTTTGGAGCTGACTTACCTTCTTTAATCTATAAGTTTATGTCTCGTCAAATTTGGAATGTTTTCAGACTTTATTTCTTTGAATTTAACTCATCTTGTTTGCATCATTTGATTGTCTTCTCCCTCTCTATCGCATTCACACTCTCTCTCTCTGTCTCTGTCTCTGTCTCTCTCTCTCTCTCTCGGCTCACTGCAACCTCTGCCTCCTGGGTTCAAGCGATTCTTGTGTCTCAGCCTCCCGCGTAGCTGGAATCTTAGGCGTGTACCACCACGCCCAGCTAATTTTTTGTATTTTTAGTAGAGACGGGGTTTCACCATGTTGGCCAGGCTGGTCTTGAACTCCTGACCTTAAGTGATCCACCTGCCTCAGCCTCCCAAAGAGCTGGGATTACAGGCGTGAGCAACCACAGCCAGCCTTGATTGTCTTTTCTCAATCAATTTGTGATTTTCCTGGTTCTTAGTGGTAAAAACAAATTTTGATTATATCCTGGACATTTTGGATATTATGTTAGGAGACTTTGATTCCTATTTATAATCTTCTGTTTAGCAGGCAGTTGCTCTATTTAGGTTTTCCATGTAGGTTCTGGCCTATTTATGTGGCTGTGATCCCAAAGATAATTTAGTTTTCGGGGTAGTTGCATTCTGGTCTATTTCAGTGGTACCACTGAGGCTCCCACTCAGTCCCTGTTGGTGATGCTTATGTGGGTGGAATGGTCTTCCTCAAGGCCTGCTGCTGCTGTGTGGAAAGGGGGAGATGCTAACCCACAGAGTAGAGAACATTTCCCTGGGCCTGCCCCTGGACCACCTGGTGTCAGTGGGTCACCCACTTGATTCTGATTGATGGCATTCATGGAGTTAGAAAATGCTTTTCTAGGCCTCCTGATGCATCTAGGTAGGATGCTGGGCCCTGGGATGGAGAACATTTCCTTGAACCTACTCTCTGGGTTTCTCAGTGCTAGTGGACTTCCCATTCAATTTTTGCCAGTGCCACTGGGGAAGGAAAGTGCCTACCTGGGCTGCCTTTTACCACAGGAGAATGTGGACCTAGGTCTCCTTTTGTTGCTGGCTAGAGGACCGGGAGATGCCAAATCTGTTGGGACTCTCCGCCTGGTTTCTGCTGACACTACAGTTCAGGTGGTGCAAGCTTACCTGTTGCTGCTGGGTTGGAGTAGGGTGTGGGGAAATGGGACTGTCTGCTAAGTCTGCTGGGCTGCCCGTTTCTTGGTCCTTGGGCTATAGACAGCAGGCTTTTCTTGGACTTCTTTCCGCCCTCCTTCCTTCCCTTTCTCCTTCCCACTATTCCTATTTCTATTTCTGGCCTTAGTTCCACATTGTAGGCCTCTCCAGAGTCCAACCTCAGATATGACAGTTAAAAAGAAAACTGAGAAAGTAATTGCCATGTTGTTCTCCAGTCTGGAGGTCCTTAGCCAGTCTGCCTTTCACTTTCTACCTTTCAGTCTTTACCTGATTGGCTTTTGGTTTCTAGGGAAATGGAGGGAAAAGCAAATTTGTGTCATTTTGTCAGGGAGCAGAAGACAACTGGAGTTTCGAAAACTTGACTTTGATGTGGTATTGTCTTTGGTTGTTGGTAGAAATAATCATACGGGGGAAGCGAGGTAAAGGTCTTTCTCAGGCAATATTGAATAAACTCAGGGATCTCAAGCCACAGAATGTGGGGACACCTATGCCATGAAACTTTCCTAACTTTTCTAAAATCTGTAGTCCCCATCCTGAACTATTAATAATAGCTGACATTTATTGCTTGTTCACATTGCTAAGCATTTTACATATTATTATTGTAATGTACATTAATTATATAATAATACAGGTCGAGCGTCCCTAATCTGAAAATCCGCAATCCAAAATAGTCCAAAATCTGAAACTTTTTGACTGCTGATGTGATATTCAAAGGAATTACTCATTAGCGCATTTTGGATTTCAGATTTTTGGATTAGGTATGCACAGTGTATTTTTTTATCATATTATTATGCCATAGTGTTTTATATTTGTATCTGACTTATGATGATAGGCGCTGCTATTATTCTATTTGCTATCTGAGCAAAATGAAACTTAGAGAAATTAAGTGACTTGCCCAAAGTCCCACTTTCTCTAAGAGGATTTTGATAGCTTCATTCCATATTGTTCTCTGTTTTTGAAGTTTTGAATGCCTTTATAACCTTACCATAAACATATCACACCATCAGTTTATACAAATTCTTTCTCAGAGAGGGCACCAATTTAATTTCTATTATATACTTAACACAAATCTTGGCATATGATAAAGGCATGAAAGAGTCTCGATGATTGTTTCCTAACTTAAGAGTTCATCAGTTAGTGGTACGGTACTGGCTGCCTCAGCTTGTTTACAGCATCAGGTAATGACATAGTAGGAAACAATGCTTTGTGCAATAAAGGATTTTAACTTCTTCCTAGGTGATATCAACACCCAGGGCTTCAGTTATTTTCTATGACTGATGACTTCCAATTGTAGGACTCTATCTAGATATATCTTACACTCCAAATGTTTGTATCTGACTACTATGGAATGTCTTCATTTGGATGTCCCAAAGGCATCTTAATGTCAGAACTTTACAAATGGAACCAATCATCTCTTTAAACCTACTCTTCCTTCTCTATTTCTTTTCAGGGAATGAGTGTCTACTTATTAGCCAAGCTAGAAACTTGTATTCTTCTTTCCCCCTCATCCCTGCCCAATCACTCAATCCCGTTGCTTCTGACTATCAGACTCCCATTCTCTTTTCTGAATTACTGCATTAGTAATGGAAAACTGATCATCTTCTCTGCCACTCATTTTTTGTATTAAGCGAAACTAGTCTGTTTACAGGGCAGACTTGATAATGTCACTTCCTAGTTTGGAGTTCTTGCTTTCCATTGTTAACCTCAGGGTAAATTCTAAACTCCTTAGTACATAGTAGAAGGTCCCTGCTTACCTTCGTAGCCTTATACTTGCCTCTTTTTTCATAGTGAACTACTGTCATTTCTTCATGATGCTAGACCCTCTTGTCTCCTTGATCTCATAGATGCTATTTTCTCTACTTGGAATGCTTCCCTATTCTTTATATGCCCATTTTTGCCTCATTTCTGGTTTTATCCTTGCATTCTGAGCTTTGCTGTCTTTCAGGAAAATGTTTCTGTTTTTTGCTGTTCACCATGACTCTATAAGAAAGAGCGAGATACTCCTTATATATGTTACTATAGTGTCCTGTAAACAACCTGCCTAATCACTGCCCTTACACTGAATTTAGTAATTGCTTTTTTTCACTTGTTTATATCTCCCACAGGACTTTAAGCTCTTTGAGGGTAGAGCTGGGGCTTTGCTAATATATATATTTTTGCACCTGGCCGTGAAAGCTGCTCAATAAGTATCTGTTGAATGACTTAATGAATCGATGAATATTAAATGAATTAATGTGCCTGGGTAGACTGGAGAGGGGTAGAATAAGATGGTAGGTTTTGTATTTTGGCAGGGATCAGTTCTCAAGAAAGTGGATCAAATAAATGTAAGTATCATATTTCATTGACTATGTGTCAGTTGTAATGAAAGCCTATGGATTGGTGTCTTATCACTATTTTATTGATCTCTAACATGAGGCTGTGTCTCTATGACTTGAATGGCCTATATGTCTTACTTTATGTTGTTTGGTGGGTATTGGGGTTTATGTTCCCTGCCTCTAAACCTAATTGATTTTTCTATTAGTTTTCCTGCCATAATTTTTATTGATGCCCAGTCTTTTGTTTAACCTTACTACCTTAGGTTGTTATTTGTTGGGTATCTTCTCCCTTGAAGATGCAAGTTACTCAGGGCAGAGAGGGAACCTGAGTGTGGCTCAGAGTAAGGGAGGACTTTAGTTTGGGGCAGGACTTTGAAGGGTTCTGTTAAAGATGAGGAGCCTAGAAGCAGGATCTGAAATTACATCTTCTCCTGTCCCAGAGGGAACTTTTTTGAGTTAGGGGTGCACCTATCAGGGTGGTTTGATGACTGGGCATTACTAGGACTAGAGTATAACTTTCCCAGGGTTATTCTGTTAGGAAGTAGTGTTTGGGATTTGATGTTTGAGTACTGGGTTCATGAACTTTTCATAACACCAGCAGTTCATTAGCTTTTTGAAACCCCTGCCCACTTAGGAATGAGGAAGAGTGTATAACGCACTTAACCTAACAATTCCTGCTTTCACATTGAAAAAGAACTTAGTGATAGCAACAACAAAATTAGGAATTAAATTATAGGCTATAGTGTTAGCTTGTATATGTGATTTTTGTGTTATAAAACAGTGCCCTATTATCTTTTGAAACTAAGCAATTTTATTACATTTAACTTGATTTTGTATTGCAAGTTATTTAAATGGCATACATTTATCAACAGGACAACATTAATGAATTATCAGTATGCAGGAACTTTGGAAGGGTTATATTTACATCCGCTGTGCTAATAAGAGTATCAAAAATTCCTGTTTGAACTGTGATATACTTGTGTTATAGTTTAGTTATGAGAGAATATAGTTTAAGATGATGAATGTTGAAGTAAACATCTATGAGTTTACTGAGGGATTAACCAAATACAGCAAAATTAAAATTAGTTATCAATAATTAATAATTAGGAACTTATAAAAATGATATAGTAATTAGAAAGCAAGAATAGCAGCAATGATGACAAAGACCCATTTAAAATATCACTGGTGCCGGGCGCGGTGGCTCACGCCTGTAATCCCAGCACTTTGGGAGGCCGAGGCGGGTGGATCACAAGGTCAGGAGATCGAGACCATGGTGAAACCCCGTCTCTACTAAAAAATAGAAAAAAAAATTAGCCGGGCGCAGTGGCGGGCGCCTGTAGTCCCAGCTACTCGGGAGGCTGAGGTAGGAGAATGGCGTGAACCCGGGAGGCGGAGCTTGCAGTGAGCCGAGATTGCGCCACTGCACTCCAGCCTGGGCGACAGAGCGAGACTCCGTCTCAAAAAAAAAAAAAAAAAATCACTGGTGTCTTTTCAAAAACTACATGAATTTGAGTTTACTTCTCTGTACACACAATAGGTTCTTTTGCCAGACTTCTTTTTTAAAAAACTTTTTTATTTTTAATTTTTATGAGAACATAGTAGGTGTATATATTTATGGGGTACATGAGATATTTTGACACAAACATACGATATGCAATAATCACATCAAGGTAAATGGTGTATCTGTCACCTCAAGCATTCATTATTTCTTTATGTTGTGAAAAGTACAGTTATACTCTTTTCATTTAAAATGTGTTATAAATAATTGTTGACTGTAGTCACCCTGTTGTACTATATCATATTCTAGAGCTTATTCATTCTTTTTTTTTTTTTTTTTTTTTTGAGACGGAGTCTCGCTCTGTCGCCCAGGCTGGAGTGCAGTGGCTGGATCTCGGCTCACTGCAAGCTCCGCCTCCCGGGTTTACGCCATTCTCCTGCCTCAGCCTCCCGAGTAGCTGGGACTACAGGCGCCCGCCACCTCGCCCGACTAGTTTTTTGTATTTTTTAGTAGAGACGGGGTTTCACCGTGTTAGCCACGATGGTCTCGATCTCCTGACCTCGTGATCCGCCCGTCTCGGCCCCCCAAAGTGCTGGGATTACAGGCTTGAGCCACCGCGCCCGGCCTAGAGCTTATTCATTCTAACTACATTTTTGTACCCATTAACCATCCTCCCCACTACCTTCCTAGCCCCATTACAGACTTATTAGTGACTGAATTAGAGGGCTCAAAATTAGAGCTATAGTAATTTATTTGTGTGTGCTAGTATTAAAACCCATAATAATTCACTTGGAATGATTACTGGTAAGAGGCTCTTAGTCATATGTAAAATGGAAGTATGGAAGTGTACCTCATTTTGTCTGTAAGAAATAAAGGGCTTGCTTATTCTTCTTATGCCAGTATATACTTGGGGAAATAAAACCGTACTGTCTTTATCACCTAAGGAAGCCTTCTGTGTTACTAAGCACCTTAGTATGGAGAAGAGTTCTTGAGTAAGTTGTACCCAGTTGTTAGTCTTAATGTTATCTCTAGGAGGCATACAGTTCCGATGAATATACAACTTTGGTATAGTATAGTCTTTTTCTGGCAGCCATGTTCCTCTTCTTGGTCGAAACTTACCTCTTCAACTCACCCCTACTTCTGAAAATGAATCTCCAAAGATTTGATCAGTATATAGTAATATTGTAACACTCACGCTTAGTGTACTCTTCTTTCCCAGGGCTGAGAGAATAATAAGCACTCTAAAAACATACCATTTTTCATCATGAACTCCTTACTTACATAGACATATTTTAAAATTCATAATTAGTGGATTTGTGATCACCATTCTTCTGACAGTTTGACATATATGTCTTTAACTTTATATAGAACTGACAAGAATTCTTCTTTAACATCATGCATCTCCTCCTGCACTTTTAACAGCTTAACCTATAGTTGTTCTTCCAGTTTTCTTTACTAATCTTTTCCTTTACCCCTGAGGTTAAGAAGACCTTATCTTATGTAACCTTCTGGATCCTTCAAGGACCTGGACTGTACATCTTAACTCCTTAGCTATTTATGTCATTTGTCCCCATTCATGGTGTCACTAATAATTTGTAATGGCCAAAGGGATGTAAAAACTTTGAGAAATTAGGAAATCATTTAGAAAAACAAGGTTCTGTTTTGTTAATCTGTTTTGGTTTATTAACTTCTTGAGCCTGTTCTGTTTCCTTACAAAAAACTTTTCTTATTTTCTTTAGACCCAGCAGGCAAGAACCTCACAAAATTTTGTAACCCATATTCCTTCTCAAGTTACAGTGCATGTTGCATTTTTAAATTTTTTACTTTTCTTGAAGAGTTAATACTTGATACTTCTAGTTCTTTACTTTAAAATTCACTCCTCTACCCATTTCATTCTATATTCAGCTCCTTTGGAGCTCATCAGTGGCCATAGAAAGCCAGTCAGTTGTAGTGGAAAGAGCTCAGAATTTGGATTTAGAGTTCAAGGGTTAAAGTACCAGTTTTTGTCACTTACCCACCTACAATTCTAGAAAAACTATGTATCTTTGCACTTAAAATGTGATCTGAGGACCAATAACATTGGGCATCCCTGGGGAGCTTGTTAGAAATGCAGAATTTCAGGTCCCACCCAGACCTACTGAGTCAGAATCTGCAAGTTAACAAGATCCCAACACTGAGAAGCACTGTTACATGGTCGTCTTTGCAACTCGGTTTCCCTATACGTAAAGTATGGATAATACTTGCTCTATATATCAATCATCTTAACATCATCTGACACATCATATGTTTTACCAATTTATTGTCAGCCTCCTTCTGCTGGAATACAAATAAGCTCTGCGAGGTAGGGATTATTGTCTGTTCATTTATTGCTGTATGTAGAACAGTGCCTAGCACATAATAAGCATTCATGTATTTTGAATGAACAATGAATGAATGGACAGCTTGTCAAATCCTGTCATTTCTGTTGCAGTCACTTACTTTACACTGCTGTTTAAAACTGCTTTCATTTAGAATTATTGTATTAATGCAAATATAGGACGTTTCTATAGAAACGTTCGTTGGATTGTGCAACCCAGATTTTTACATTCCCTTCTCACTCATCTTGAAAACTTTAAAACTGTAAACAACTTGCCATGCCATATGGAATTAAGTTCAAACTCTTCAGAGTAACCTTTAGAGTCTTTTTCAGTTTTATGTACTTAAATATATATACATTATACAGCGTGCATTTGCTGGGAGAGTCCTTCGAACTCACTGCACGCATAGCATCCCTGTAGGCCATATTGTACTGCCCCTGTGGGACTTTGGGTGCAAGAGGAACCTGTGAAAATAAGCTGATGATCCTTTGCTGTACCAGGGATCATAAAGTCTTTTGTCTCTGACTGAAGACCTTATGTCTTATGCTAGCCTACAAGACACAATAACAAATTGTAAGTAGGGTGAAATCAAATCCTAGACCCAACAGCATTATCCCATCTCATTGATAGTTCTCTAAAAATCCAAGTTTTAAGATCCTTATAATATTTCATCTGCTGGATATACTATTGTTTATAACCATTACTCTGTTGTTGAAGATTTAAAATATTTTTACTTTAGTTTTCTAATTAATATATTTGTGTGCAAATATTTGTCTCCTTTGATGGCTGTTTCCTTAGGATTCATTTCTAGGAGCTTTTTAAAGGCTCAAAGCTTGCTTTTTTTCAGCACATAGAATTTTAAAATAGAAAATTTTATATAATATTAACAAATTTCTTTTTCTTTAGGAGATGCTTCTAAAGGAGGCATAGCTAAAGTTACTCAATCCAACTTGAAGTCAGGCATCACTACCACTCCTGTTGATTCAGACATTGGATCTCATTTATCCTTGTCCCTTGAGGACCTGTCTCAGTTGACTGTAAGTTCTCCTCTAGAAACTACTACTGGTCAACACACCAATACTCTCAACCAAAGGCCATTAGCGGATACTCATCTAACTGAAGAGACTCTGAAAGTCACAGCTATTCCTGAACCAGCTTACCAGAAGACTGCAACACCAACAGTACTCTCTAGTTCCCACTCACACAGGGGGAAGCCCAGTATTTTCTACCAGCAGGGCTTGCCAGACAGTCATCTAACTGAAGAGGCTTTGAAAGTTTTAGCTGCTCCTGGACCAACTGACCAGACAACTGGCATACCAACTCTAACTTCTACTTCCTACTCACATAGAGAGAAGCCTGGTATTTTTTACCAACAAGAGTTACCAGAGAGTAACTTAACTGAAGAGCCTTTGAAAGTTTCAGCTGCTCCTGGCCCAGTGGAGCAGAAAACTGGAATACCTACAGTATCCTCTACATCCCACTCACATGGAGAGGACCTCCTCTTTTTCTATCGACAGACCTTGCCAGATGGTCATCTAACTGATCAGGCTCTGAAAGTTTCAGCTATGTCTGGACCGGCTGACCAGAAGACTGGGACAGCAACAGTACTCTCTACTTCCCACTCACATAGAGAGAAGCCTGGTATTTTTTACCAACAGGAGTTCCCAGATAGTCATCAAACTGAAGAGACTCTTAAAGTTTCGTTCACTCCTGGACCAGCTGACCAGAAGACTGAGACACCAGCAGTACAGTCTAGTTCTTACTCACAGAGAGAGAAGCCTAGTATTTTGTACCCACAGGTGTTAGCAGACAGTCATCTATCTGAAGAGGGTCTGAACGTTTCAGCTGTTGCTGGACCAGCTGACCAGAAGACTGGCCTACCAACAGTACCCTCTAATGCATACTCACACAGAGAGAAGCTCCGTATTTTCTACCAACAGGCCTTGCTGGACAGCCAACTACCCGAAGAGGTTCTGAAAAATTCAGCTGTTTCTGGACCAGCTGACAGAAAGACGGGGACACCAACTGTAACCTCTACTTCCTCTGTGTCCTCTTCACTTGGAGAAAAGCCTGGTGCTTTCTATCAGCAGACCTTACCCAATAGTCATCTAACTGAAGAGGCTCTGAAAGTATCAGTTGTTCCTGGACCCAGTGATCAGAAGACTGGGATACCCTCAGCACCATCTAGTTTCTACTCACACAGAGAGAAGCCCATTATTTTTTCCCAGCAGACCCTGCCAGACTTTCTTTTCCCTGAAGAAGCTCTGAAGGTTTCAGCTGTTTCTGTATTGGCTGCCCAGAAGACTGGGACACCAACAGTGTCCTCTAATTCTCACTCACATAGCGAGAAATCTAGTATTTTCTACCAGCAAGAGTTGCCAGACAGTGATCTACCTAGAGAATCTCTGAAAATGTCTGCTATTCCTGGACTGACTGACCAGAAGACTGTCCCAACACCAACAGTACCTTCAGGTTCCTTCTCACATAGAGAGAAGCCCAGTATTTTCTATCAGCAGGAATTGCCAGATAGTCATCCAACTGAAAAGGCTGTGAAAGTTTCAACTGGCCCTGGACCAGCTGACCAGAAGACTGAGATACCAACAGTACAGTCTAGTTCTTACCCACAGAGGGAGAAGCCTAGTGTTTTTTACCCACAGGTGTTATCAGACAGTCGTCTACCTGAAGAGAGTCTGAAAGTTTCAGCCTTCCCTGGACCAGCTGATCAGACGACTGACACACCAGCAGTACCCTCTACTTTCTACTCACAAAGAGAGAAGCCTGGTATTTTCTACCAACAGACCTTGCCAGAGAGTCATCTGCCTAAAGAGGCTCTGAAAATTTCAGTAGCTCCTGGACCAGCAGACCAGAGGACTGGCACACCAACTGTAACCTCAACTTTCTATTCACAATATAGAGAAAAGCCCAGCATTTTCCACCAACAGGCCTTGTCAGGTACTCATATACCTGAAGAGGCTCAGAAAGTTTCAGCTGTTACTGGACTGGGTGATCAGAAGACTTGGACACCAGGAGTACTTTCTACTTTCTACTCACAAAGAGAGAAGCCTGGTATTTTCTATCAACAGACCTTCCCAGGTAGTCATATACCTGAAGAGGCACAGAAAGTTTCAACTGTTCCTGGACCAGCTGACCAGAAGACTGGGACACCAACTCCAACCTCTACTTCCTACTCACACACAGAGAAGCCTGGTATTTTCTACCAACAGGTCTTGCCAGATAATCATCCACCTGAAGAGGCTCTGAGTATTTCAGTTGCCTATGAACCAGTTGACCAGACAACTGGCACACCAAAACTACAACCTCTACTTCTCTTCTGGCACTGAAAGCCCAGCATTTTCTACCAACAGTCGTTGCCGGCATTAGTCATCTAACTGAAGAAGCACGGAAAGTTTCCAGTGGTTCCTAAGGACCAATGACCAGAAGACTGGGACACCAACTTTGCCACTCTACTTTCTACTCACACACAGAGAAGCCTGAGTGCTTTCTACCAGGTCTTTGGATAATCATCCACTGCAAAGAGGCTCTGAGTATTTCAGTTGCCTATGAACCAGTTGGCTGAAAGACCATGCTTTGCTCTGTCTGGCCTACTCACATGTGAGAAAGCCCAGCATTTTCTACCAGCAGTCGTTGCCAAGTAGTCATCTAACTGAAGAGGCGGAAGGTTTCAGAGGTATGGTTCCTGGACCAGCTGACCAGAAGACTGGGACACCAACTCCAACCTCTGGCCCTCTGCACCTCCACACAGAAGCCTGGTATTTTCTACCAACAGGTCTTGCCAGATAATCATCCTACAGAGAGCAAGGTGTTTCAGTTCTATAGACCAGATGGAAGTAGACAACTGGCACACCAACTGCAACCTCTACTTCCTACTCACAACATAGAGAGAAGCCCAGCATTTTCTACCAACAGTCGTTGCCAAGTAGTCATCTAACTGAAGAGGCGAAGAACGTTTCAGCGGTTCCTGGACCAGCTGACCAGAGACTGGGACACTGGCCCTCTTTCTACTCCCTAGAAGCCTGGTATTTTCTACCAACAGGTCTTGCCACATAGTCATCCAACTGAAGAGGCTTTGAAAGCTCCTGGACCAGTTGCAGCCAAGCGATTAGCACACAACTATAACTTTCTATTTAGCAGCTCATTTGGAAAGCCACTCACACACAGAGAAGCCTGGTATTTTCTACCAACAGGTCTTGCCACATAGTCATCCAACTGAAGAGGCTTTGAAAGCTCCTGGACCAGTTGACCAAACGATTGGCACACCAACTGTAACCTCTCCTTCCAGCTCATTTGGAGAGAAGCCCATTGTTATCTACAAACAGGCCTTTCCAGATGGTCATCTACCTGAAGAGTCTCTGAAAGTTTCAGTTGCTCCTGGACCAGTTGACCAGACAACTGGCTCACCAACTGTAACCTCTCCTTCCTACTCGCAACATAGAGCAAAGCCTGGCAGTTTCTACCAGCCGGCATTGCTAGGTAGTCAAATACCTGAAGAGGCTCTCAGAGTTTCATCTGCTCCTGGACCAGCTGACCAGACAACTGGCATACCAACCATAACCTCTACTTCCTACTCACTTGGAGAGAAGCCCATTATTATCTACAAACAGGCCTTTGCAGATGGTCATCTACCTGAAGAGGCTCTGAAAGTTTCCATTGTTTCTGGACCTACTGAAAGGAAGACTGAGATACCAACAGGACCTTTAGGTTCCAGTGCACTTGGAGAGAAGCCCATTACTTTCTACCAGCAGGCTCTGTTAGACAGTCCTCTAAATAAAGAAGTTGTGAAAGTTTCAGCTGCTCCTGGACCAGTTGACCAGAAGACTGAGACAATACCAGTATATTCTACTCCCTACTCAAATAGGGGGAAGCCCGTCATTTTCTACCAACAGACCCTATCAGACAGTCATTTACCTGAAGAAGCTCTGAAAGTTCCACCTGTTCCTGGACCAGATGCCCAGAAGACTGAGACACCATCAGTATCCTCTAGTTTATACTCACATAGAGAGAAGCCCGTTGTCTTCTACCAACAGGCCCTGCCAGACAGTCAGCTAACTAAAGAAACTCTGAAAGTTTCAGCTGTTCCTCAACCAGCTGACCAGAAGAGTGGGTTATCGACAGTAACCTCTACTTCCTACTCACACAGAGAGAAGCCCATTATTTCCTACCAGCAAGAGTTGCCACGTTTTACTGAAGCAGGTTTGAAAATTTTAAGAGTTCCTGGACCAGCTGACCAGAAGACTGGAATAAACGTCCTGTCCTCTAATTCCTACCCACAGAGAGAGCAGTCTGTCATTTCTTATCAGCAGGAGTTGCCAGATCTTACTGAAGTAACTTTGAAAGCAGTAGGGGTTCCTGGGCCTGCTGACCAGAAGACTGGGATACAAATAGCATCCTCTAGTTCCTACTCAAATAGAGAGAAGCCCAGTATTTTTCATCAGCAGGAGTTGCCAGATATTACTGAAGAAACTTTAAATGTTTTTATTGTTCCTGGACAAGGTGACCAGAAGGCTGAGATACCAACAGTACCTTTAAGTTACTACTCACATAGAGAGAAGCCTAGTGGTATCTCTCAACAGGAGTTGCCATACAGTCATCTCACAGAAGAGGCTTTGAAAGTTTCCCCTGTTTCTATACCAGCAGAGCAGAAGACTGGGATACCAATAGGACCGTCTAGTTCCTACTCACATTCACATAAAGAGAAACTCAAGATTTCAACTGTGCACATACCAGATGACCAGAAAACTGAGTTTCCAGCAGCTACCCTTAGTTCCTACTCACAAATAGAGAAGCCCAAAATTTCAACTGTGATTGGACCAAATGACCAGAAGACTCCATCCCAGACAGCTTTTCATAGTTCCTATTCTCAAACAGTAAAGCCCGATATTTTATTTCAACAGCAGTTGCCAGATAGAGATCAAAGTAAAGGTATTCTAAAGATTTCAGCTGTCCCTGAACTAACTGAGGTGAATACTGGAAAACCAATACCTCTCTCTAGTTCTTATTTTCACAGAGAAAAATCAGGTATTTTCAGTCCACAGGAATTGCCAGGTAGACATGTAACTGAAGATGTGCTGAAGATTTCAACAATTCCTGGACCACCTAGTCAGAAAACAGTATTACCAACAGCTCTTCCTAGTTCCTTTTCACACCGAGAGAAACCCGATATTTTCTATCAAAAGGATTCGCCAGATAGACGTCTAACTGAAGTTGCTCTAAAGATCTCAAGTGCTCTTGGGCAAGCTGATCAAATTACTGGATTACACACAGTTCCCTCTGGTACTTACTCACATGGTGAGAATCACAAGCTTGTTTCAGAACATGTCCAAAGGCTGATAGATAATTTGAATTCTTCTGACTCCAGTGTTAGCTCAAGTAATGTGCTTTTAAATTCTCAGGCTGATGACAGAGTTGTAATAAATAAACCAGAATCTGCAGGTTTTAGACATCTTGGCTCTGAAGAAATCCAGGATGCAGAAAATAGTTCTAAAACTCTTAAGGAAATTCGGACACTTTTGATGGAGGCAGAAAATATAGCACTGAAACGATGCAATTTTCCTGCTCCCCTTGCCCCTTTCAGAGATATTAGTGATATTTCATTTATACAATCTAAGAAGGTGGTTTGCTTCAAAGAACCCTCTTCCACTGATGTATCTAATGGTGATTTGCTTCAGAGACAGCCATTCACAGAGGAAAGCCCAAGCAGCAGGTGCATACAGAAGGATATTGGCACACAGACGAATTTGAAATGCCAGAGAGACATTGAAAATTGGGAGTTTATTAGTTCAACTACAGTAAGAAGTCCTCTACAGGAAGCAGAGAGCAAAGTCAGTATGGCATTAGAAGAAACTCTTAGGCAATATCAAGCAGCCAAATCTGTAATGAGGTCTGAACCTGAAGGGTGTAGTGGAACCATTGGGAATAAAATTATTATCCCCATGATGACTGTCATAAAAAGTGATTCAAGTAGTGATGCCAGTGATGGAAATGGTTCCTGCTCGTGGGACAGTAATTTACCAGAGTCTTTGGAATCAGTTTCTGATGTTCTTCTAAACTTCTTTCCATATGTTTCACCCAAGACAAGTATAACAGATAGCAGAGAGGAAGAGGGTGTGTCAGAGAGTGAGGATGGTGGGGGTAGCAGTGTAGACTCACTAGCTGCACATGTGAAAAACCTTCTGCAATGTGAATCCTCACTGAATCATGCTAAAGAAATACTCAGAAATGCAGAGGAAGAGGAAAGCCGGGTACGAGCACACGGTAAGAAAAAAGGTTCAGGCTTATAAACGTTATAGCTTAATAATTTGTTTAAAGTTAGATATTTATGATTTGAGGGTGCCTAGCCAATGAAAAATAAAAACAAGATCAGGAAAAAAAAAGAATTGTTAGAGTGATTATATTTCTTCTTACAATCCATAAAAAGTATTTAACCAATAATGTAGTTAAGTTACAGTATTAGTACCAGCCTGAGTTTAGGTTCTTGTTTTTAGGAGAAGTAGATTCTGATGTATGGCAGAGAGTAAAGAGGTCGCTTGGCTCCTGAGCTCCTAAAGCTATCATGTTTCCCTAATCCTCCCATTATAGTATCCTTATTGTGAAGGCAGAAAAAGCCTCCAATTTGCTGTGCTCTAAATTGCTTTTTGTCCTAAAACTACATATATTTTCTCTTTCCCTTTTCTAATAAAACTCTTGGTGGTGGTCTCAGACATTTGAAAAAAAATCAATGTATTTTATACTAAAACTTGGATTAGAGGTTTAAAAGAGAATATTTACAAATCTCATTACTTTCTAATAGAATTCCATTAAAAACAAAAATCTGTAAGACAATATGGGGAATATATTTTGGGAGGCAATTTAAAAGCAATTTAGGCCTACCTAGAAATTGTCCCTTGAGGTTAACTTCCTACACTGTTCCTTGCACCTTTTTATTCTAAAAAAAACCCTCCAAGTTGTATTTATTACTTTTATAAATTGTAATTGTAGCAGGAACTAAAGGGAGAGGCAAAGGGACTCTTGATTAGAAGGAGGATTAAGATAAACATGATTGAATACCAGATTTAAAGTGGCTTTTTTGTAGAATTATCTATAGAGCATGGCTTAAGAAAATCAGACTTTGCAGTGAAATAATCTCTGTCAAGAATTTCTATAGGTTGTCATAGTTAAGAAGACATACTAAGCATTGCGGTGGGTATTACATTGCATATATTGATGATCTTCTGTGTTCTTGCAATTGTTGCCAAATTATCACTTTTGCATTGTATTATCTCAAGTGTATGCTTTCTCTCCAGCCTGGAATCTGAAGTTCAATTTAGCACATGATTGTGGATACTCCATTTCAGAATTAAATGAAGATGACAGGAGGAAAGTAGAAGAGATCAAGGCAGAGTTGTTTGGTCATGGGAGAACAACTGACTTGTCCAAGGTATAAAAGAAATCTGGAAATGAAAAAAGTAAATATGAAAGAATGGGTGATGGAATTTGGATCTCTTACTTGGGCATCAGTTGAATTGCTGATAATATTTGGCTAAAGTGTAAGGAGCCTTTTTTGGTTTTGTTTTTGAGACAGTCTTGCTCTGTTGGCCAGGCTGAAGTGCAGCAGTGCAATCCTAGTTCACTGCAGCCTTGAACTCTTAGGCTCAAGGAATCCTCCCACCTCAGCCTCTCAAGTAACTGGGACCACATGTGTGTACCACCCTGCTTGGCTAATTTTTAAATTTTTGGCAGAGACAGGGTCTCTCTACATTGCCCGGGCTGGTCTTGAACGCTTGGACTCAAGTGATCCTCTTGCCTTGGCCTCCCAAAATGTTGGGATTACAGGCATAAGCCACTGTGCCTAGGCGGGCATCTTAATTTTTCAAAAGTTAAGATGTAAGTATTAGATACTTACAGTCTAGATATGTGAAGTTTTTATTCATTCCAAGTTCATATTTTGAAAAATTTATCTTCTTAGAAAAATAAGAACTGATTTGCTTATCAATATTTTTTTAGAACGGAGAAGACTGAATGTCACCCTTATTTTCTCTTGAAAGTGGTATCTTGAAATCTAGATGAAGTCCAGCTATTTTCAAACGTTTATTTTAAATGCTTGAGTACACAGCTATAATAGCTTATATATAAATGACTTTCATTTTAATAGTACATATTTTCCTTCTATTAACTATTTCATATGTAGGAAAGAGTATATATGAATCATTTATGTAAAGAATAGCAGCAAGTAAGTAATAATTCCCGTATATTGACTATCCAGCTTGAGAAATAGAACATTATTAAATACTGTTGAAGTTCTTTGTTTCTCCTTTCCCAGTCATATCTTTTTTATTTCTTATTTTGATATATAATGATTTTCCTGCTCTTCAGTATGGTTTTGAACTCTGTAGATGGAATCAATAAGATACATATTCTTTTGAGAACTGGGTGTTTCACACAGTCTTAGGGTTTTGAGCTGCTTCTATGTAGATGTGCATAGTTTTCATTTATTCCTTATTACTGTACAGTATTTCAGTGTGTGATTACATAATAATTTATTCATTCTCCTGTGGTTAAGGCATTTTGTCTGCTATTTTGCTTAATAATAGGATATAATAATGCCTATCTTAGAGGGTTTTGGTGTGGATTATGTGAGATAATGCCTATAAAATGCTTAGTAGAATGTGTGATATCTAGTTAGTACTCAATAACTGGTAGCTATTATTACTATTATTAATCCTGTAAGAATTGATATAGTTATCATACAAGGATTTCATGGCCTGATTCATACAAAGTTTATTAGAAAACTATTCTCCAGTGATATAGTTTATTTGGATTATCTCAGTTTTGGAAAAGTGTTTGAAAAGTACAAATTAGATTGGATTTTAGGTTTTACATATATGCTTGTGAAAAACAAAATTGACAAAATAATAAGAATAGTAAAATGAACAATTGGTTCTCTTAGCACCATTTGTATATATTCTGCCAAAGTGAGCACTACCTTAGCATCATTTGTTTAAACGTACATAGTTTTCTCCGTGATTTGTGTTTCCCTATTTTTAAAAATTGTTTTCTTGTGTTCATATTTCCAGATCCCTCAGCAAGCAAGTTGCCTTCCTTTGGGTAGACTCTAGTTTGTCTGTGTTTTTCTTAAAATAAGGTGTCCTGAATTAGATGAAACACAATTTCACTTCTGATCTGACCAGCATGAAATATATTTAGTAATTCTCTTTCTGTCAGTGTACTGTGAGATCTTTAATGGTCACAGCATAATTGGGCATTAAAAAAAAACAACCATATACTGCTTTCAAACCTTAAAGCTGTAGGAAAAAAGCAAAACAAAACCAAACCAAAAATCACGAACTACTGCCAAGATTTCTATTCTCATTTCTTGTATGTATGTAATACTTTTTTTTTAAATTCTCTTTTTTTTGAGACAGAGTCTCATTTTATTGCCCAGGCTGGAGTGCAGTGGCATGATCTCGGCTCACTGCAAACTCCACGTCCCAGCTTCAAGTGATTCTCCTGCCTCAGCCTCCTGGGTAGCTGAGATTACAGCTACGTGAGTGGCGTGTGACACCACACCCAGATGATTTTTGTGTTTTTAGTAGAGATGGGGTTTCACTATGTTGGCCAGGCTGATCTTGAACTCCTGACCTCAAGTGATGCGCCCACCTCGGCCTCCCAAAGTGCTAGGATTACAGGCGTGAGCCATTACGCCTGGCCCTATATAATACTTTTTAACTCTCCTGTATTTCTTTTTATTGCTTTTATATCAGTGTTCAAGCCTATTGGAATGATTTTTAATCTAAATTTGGTCATTTATTTTATTAAAATATCCCTTTCAGCTTTGTGCCATTTGTATATTTGATAAGTATTTTTATCCAAATTAGCTATAAAAATGTTCACTAAGGGTTATGGATAAAAAGTCTAAAACTTTCGGCTGGGTGTGGTGGCTCATGCCTATAATCCTAGCACTTTGGGAAGCCGAGGTGGGTGGATCATTTGAGGTCAGGAGTTTGAGACCAGCCTGGCCAACGTTTGAAATGCCGTCTCTACTAAAAATACAAAAATTACCTGGGTGTCATGTTGAATGCCTGTAATCGTAGCTACTCGGGAAGCTGAGGCAGGAGAATTGCCTGAACCTAAGAGGCGGAGATTGCAGTGAGCCAAGATCGTGCCAGTGCACTCCAGCCTGGGCGACAGAGGGAGACTCTCTGTTTCCAAAAAAAAAAAAAAAAAAAAAAAGTCTAAAACTTTTGAATAAGATTACTCTCACACTTATGGTGAGTACTTCATGATACTGTCATTCATCCATCTCATGTTTCACCATCTTATGATTGACTTTCTTCAGTCTATTAACTGAGTAGTTGCGAAATAGTATTTGACTAGATATGCCTTGTTCTTAGGGAACCCGTATTGGCCACACTGTGTACAGTTTTGGACCTTTTATTTTTTTAACTTAAATATATTAGGATTTCCCTTTAAAACTTCTCTAAAAGCGTAATTTTACATAGGTATATAATATCGCGTTGTATGAACATAACAATTTATTCACTACCCTACTGTTGAACATTTATTTATTAATTCCAAAAATACATATTGAATGCCTGATATGTGCCATCACTCATCTATAGGCTGAGGACACATCACTGAACAAAATAGACAAACACATCATGAGCTTACATTAAGTGAGAGTATATGAATAACAACCAAACAGGTAAAATAAATGTCAGATGGTGGGATAAGAGCCAGGGAGACAAAGCAGAATGGTCAATGCAGAACCTGAGAAAGAGGTACTGAGTTAAATATCTGAGTAAGGTGAGAAAGTAAGGCAGTTATCAGTGACAAGAGCATTCCAGACAGAAATAGCATGCACGCAGTTGCTGAGGTAGAGTGTGAAAGGAAAGGGAGTGTTAAAGGAAAGGGAGGGGTGCTAAAGGAAAGGGAGGAGGCCAGTGTGTTTGAGAGCGAGAGTGAAAGGGAGAAGACTAGATTGTGGAAGGCAGTGGTTCTTGACAGGGATAGTAAATGGCTCCCAAAGAGATATTTTGGAAATTTATGTGATTTTTCTTGGGTCATCACTGTAATTGGGGATTATTTCTGGAATGCAGTAGATAGGTGTCAGGTATGTTACTATTTCTGTAATGTACAAGACAGTTCCACACAAGGAAGGGTTGTCCCTTGTCACTTATAGCTTTTGAATGTCCCTGTAGATATTAATGTTGATGAAAAACCTTTTATAAATTATTTCAGTGTCATGTTTTAAATGATTTTTTTTAGTATAGGGTGTTTCTTCTGTTTTTTCTTTCTTTCATGACTGACATTTTTGAAGAGTACAAGCTAATTACTTTGCAGATTCCCCTCAAATTGAATTTATCTGCTGTGTTCCATGATTTGATTCAGATTTGATTTTTATGTAGGAAAGCCACAGAAGTGATGGGCTTTTCATGCTTGTCAGGAGACACATTATGTTGATTTGTCTCAATACTTGTAATGTTAACTCGACCACTTAGTTAAGGTGGTATCTGCTGGTTTGTGTGTTTTACATATTAATTAATAAGCAGTTAATAAATATTATGAAGAGATTCTTTGAGACTGTAAATATCTCTAGTTTAGGATCTAGTGTTTATACTTGCGTGAATAATTTATTAATAAAATAGCTTTAATTTGGTGATCAAAAAAAATTCTATCATCACTTCAGTATTCATTCATTGGAATTCTGTGGTAAGTTAAAAGTGTCCCTTCTCCATTTTTTTATTTATATCATTATGGGCTCTTGGATTTTTCTTCTCAAAGGGTCACAACCTATCACTATCATTGTTTATTTTTGTACTCAAATTACCCCACACTTGCCCATGAGAACCATTTTAAGCTGGTGCCTGTGTGTTTTCCTCATGATCCCATCATTTCATGAGCATTCACCCACTCTCTGAGATAGGAAGATACTGTAGGAATATCTTATATTTTCTTTCCACCAACCCTAGAGCTGTCTGTTTCTCCAAGGGGCCCTGGTTCTTTTTAGCAGAGAGTAGCATGTAGAAACTAAGATATGTATGCTTGGTGTGCTTATTGATACTATGATGCTGTTGCCTTTATACCCTTTCAGCAGACGATGTGTATGTACATAATTGCACACACAACCCCCTCTCCTCTGTATGCCTGTTTACTTATCTATTACTTTTATTATAAAATGAAAGCTGTGAGTTTATACTAGTACATCCAGTTCCATTCCAGTACTACAGGGTTATTCTAGCCTTTTTTTCTTTCTTTATTTGTAACTCACTTCTCTGATAGTAAGAAACTTGGCTCCCATTATCCTCCATATATTTAGTTACTTGTTTAAATTCCCTTGTATGTTTTTCCCTCAGCCACTCTGCTTATCATGCCTGCAACAGATTGAATTTCTTTCCCAGCCCCAAATCTCTTTCAACCTACAAGTTTTATATGTAATATAATTATTATTATACCATTCCAGATATTTTTAAATTTCCATTTTGATTTGTTTCAACAGTGAAAGGTGATATATTAGGATAATACCTTCAGTGTGCTGAAAGAAAATAAATTATATCTACCTAGAATTGCGTGTCAGTGAAAATCTGTTTTAAGAATGTGGTAATATAAAAGTGATTTTAGACAATAACAGTTCATTCAACTCTCATTAAAAATTTCTAAGTGGTTACCTCAGACTAAAGGGAAATAATCTAATATGGGAAATTTGTGATGTAGGAAATATTAAAGAGCAAAAGATGTGTTAAGTATGTGGATAAATAAAGCTAAATAAGTATATGAAACAAAAATACTAGGACCTTCATGACTGAGATAAAATGTGGCAGAAACTTAAAATATATGACAACAATATCGTACAGGTTTGAAGCTGTATAAATGGAGTTAATCTTTTTCCAAGTTTCTTAACTGGGAAAAAGTTAGGTATTATTTACTTTAGCTTGATAACTATATGTGTTATAATTTCTACGATAACCCTGTCCCCTACATCATACCTTACTACAAAATTAATTTGAGATGGATCATAGACTTTACGTTGAAAAGTAAAATAAAGTTGCTTGAAAATCTCTTCATGATGTTGGGTTAGGCAAAGGTTTCTTAAGAACAAAAATACACTATCCATAAAATAAAGGATTGATAAATTGCTCTTCATGAAAATTAAGAACGTCTGGTAATCAAAAGGCACCATGAAGAGTGAAAAGTCAAGCTACACAGTGGAAGAGGGCATTTCGGATACATATATTTGATAAGGGACATAAATCTAGAATATATAAGGAACTCATGCAAATCCATTCTTCCTACCCAAAGACTTCAATAGGTGTCTCATAAATGAAGATATCCAAGTGGCCAATAAGCATTTGAAAACATTCTCAATATCACTGCCTCTTAGGTAATGCAAATTAACCATAATGAGATACTGCTTCATATCAGAGTAGCTAAAATTAAAAAGAGAACAATACTAAATATTGGTAAAGTTATGAAGCAACTGAAGCAGTCATTTATTGCTGATGGGAAGGTAAACTGGTACAAAACTCTTAAAATAATTTACAGTTATTTCATAATGGTAAACATATGCCTGACCTGGGACACTTCATTACTACTTCTTTTTAGGTGCATACTCAAGAAATATCAGTACCTATGTTCAATAGAAGACATGGTCAATAATAATTATAGTAGCCTCAAACTGAAAACTACATAAATGTGTATCAGGAGTAGAATAGATGAATCAATTATGCTTTATTCATACAGTGAAATCCTGTGTAGCCATAAAAGAGAGCAAACTACTACTGCCTCAACAACTTTGAAAGCTGTCACACATGTTGTGGTTAGCAGAAAAGCGAGACACAAACGAGCCATACTGAATAATTCCATTCATATGAAATTCAAAAACTAACCAATGGTGAGAAAAGTGATAAGAATGGTTACCTCTGGTGGAGTCAGGTGTGGTGTGTGTTATTGACCGGGAAGAGGCACAAGAGGTCTTCTCAGGTATAGGAAGTTTTGTATATCTGGATATGGGCAGTATTTACATTGCTGTCAACACATATAAAAAATAAACTGCCTGACTTCAGATTTGTACACCTTATTAATGATTTATTATATATTAATTAAAAAGAAACATTGAACAAGAGATACAATTGAAATCATAGAAAAGGAACTTTAAAAAGGCAACCATTTCTAATCATAGCAAAAACTTTATAAAAAGCATCAAGGTGTAAATCTAACAAGATTTATGAGATCTTTTATTAGAGAATAGTAAAATTTCTTTTGAAAGGCTAAGTACATAGAGAAATAAATTGTATTTATTAATAAGACTCTATATCCAGCTATCACAGACTGCTTCAATGAATCAAGGCAGATGTTTCTTTAAATTTTTTTTATCATGGTAAAATACACATAACACAGAATTTACCTCTTAACTATTTTTAAATGTACAGTTTACTGGTGTTAAGTACATTCATATTGTTGTGCAACCACCACCACCACCATCCATCTCCAAGACTCTTTTCATCTTGTGAAACTGAAACTTTTGCCCATTAAATAGTAACTTCTTGTTCTCTTCCCATCTGCCCCAGGCAACCACCATTTTCCTTTTTGTTTTGTATGATTTTGATTACTCTGAGTACTTCCTATAAATGGAATAATGCAATATTTGTCTTTTGGTGACTGGCTTATTTCACTTAGTCGCATGTGGTTCATCCATGTTGTAGCATGTAAGTGAATCTATGGTAGACAGTATATAGTTGGAGCATTCTGCCAATCTCTGTCTTTTGATTGGATAATTTATTTGCTTTTAAAGTAATTAACGATAAGGAGGAACCTGCTTCTGTCCTTTTTCTCTTTGTTTTCTACATCAAGGTACAAATTTTATGTTCAGATACAATTCCAAACCACAATGAGGATTTATCTTACTGCCCTCTACCCCACAGAAATGCATTCGTAGGCTCCTAAAGGAAACTCTGTTAGATTGCTTGTTGTCAAAAACTATTTAGATCATTTTGGCCTGTTCCATGCTATGAGAATGAGATTCACGCTGTACCCAAGGATTTACTGATCTCTCTTGGCAGAATACTGTCTCTTCTCCTTCTCTTTTCTGTTTGGTAATAGAAGAAGAGAAGAAAAGTTTGAAGTCAGTACTTTATGTCATTTAGTATATGAACCAATAACTCAACACATTTAGACAAAAAACCATGAAATAAACTTTACTTATACTCTAAAATAAACCAAACCAAACTACAAAAGTAGTAAGAAGGAAATTATAAAATAAAATCTATCAATTAACTAGAAAACAGAAAAATAGAATTGAGCATTAAAGTCTAGATTTGGACCTTAAAAATTCCAAATCAAAAGAAAGCTCTGACTAGCTAGAAGAGAAGGAAAAACACACAATGTTATAAATGAAAAGGAGCATGCCAGATAATACCACTGAGAAAATTTGAAATAATGAGAGAAAATAAAGTATAACTCTTTTCTTGTTAGGTATAAAATTTTCATGAAATGACTGATTTTCTTAGATAATGTAATTAAACGGAAATGTGTAATAGAGTAAACATGACTGAGAGAAAAACTTTATTGATCAAACATTTTGGCTTCCAAGTAAAGTGCCTGACCTAGCTCAATATTAGGTAACATTATGGAGTATTTCCTGGGTGTGATAATGACATTGTGGTTATATGATAAGTGAATTATTTAGGGTTGAAGTGTCAAATCACAGTGTCTTTGTGGAAGGATAAAGCTTTGTGGAGGGATAGGGGAAATTGTTCAACAGTTGTTGAATCTAAGTAGAAGGAATTCACATGTTTATTTTAACATTCTATCAACTTTTTGGTATATTCTTAACAAAAAGAAAACAACAATGCCTGACTTAGATGTTTATGTGGGTGACTCAAGCTATCAGGTAATGGATAACTCCTGTGCTATATAAAAAGTTCTAATACACTAATAAAAACTTCCTAATTTATTTGAGGACATTAACAAAAACCTCAGAAGACATACCTGAAATTATGAATCTTTCATATCAGTGTGATGTCTCCACTTTTATTTCTAATTTTATTTATTTGAGTCTTCTAGTTTTTTCTTAGTCTAGCTAAATGTTTAACATTGTTTTTACCTTTTCAAAACTAACAGTTTAGTTGATTTCTTCCTGTTTTTCTGTTTTTCATTTCTGCTCTAATTTTTATTCTTTCATTCTTTCTGCTAACTTTGGGCTTAGTTTTGTTCTTCTTTTTCTAGTTCCTTGAGGTGTAAAGTTGAGTTGCTTATTTGAGATCTTTCTTCCTTTAAAAACAGACAGTTATCATTAGAAACTTCCCTCTTAGTCCTGATTTTGCTTCATCCCATAAGTTTTCATTTGTTGTATTTTTGTCTTAAGATATTTTTAAATTTTCCTTGATCTCATCTTTGATCCACTGGTTGTTTAAGAGTGTGTTGTTGCTCTACCGGTGGGATTTGATTGCATGATGTCTCACAAAAAGTTCTCCGCTCCCAGGCATGGGTCCCTCAGCTTCCTGCCTCGGAAGCGCAGCAGCAGGCATCGGGGGAAGGTCAAGAGCTTCCCTAAGGATGACCCATCTAAGCCAGTCCACCTCACAGCCTTCCTGGGATACAAGGCTGGCATGACCCACATCGTGCGGGAAGTCGACAGGCCAGGATCCAAGGTGAACAAGAAGGAGGTGGTGCAGGCTGTGACTATTGTGGAGACGCCACCCATGGTGGTTGTGGGCATTGTGGGCTACATGGAAACCCCTCGAGGCCTCCGGACCTTCAAGACTGTCTTCGCTGAGCACATCAGTGATGAATGCAAGAGACGTTTCTATAAGAACTGGCATAAATCTAAGAAGGCCTTTACCAAGTACTGCAAGAAATGGCAGGATGAGGACGGCAAGAAGCAGCTGGAGAAGGACTTCAGCAGCATGAAGAAGTACTGCCAAGTCATCTGTGTCATTGCCCACACCCAGATGCACCTGCTTCCTCTGCGCCAGAAGAAGGCCCACCTGATGGAGATCCAGGTGAATGGAGGCACCGTGGCCGAGAAGCTGGACTGGGCCTGTGAGAGGTTCGAGCAGCAGGTACCTGTGAACCAAGTGTTTGGGCAGGATGAGATGATCAACATCATCAGGGTGACCAAGGGCAAAGGCTACAAAGGAGTCACCAGTCTTTGGCACACCAAGAAGCTGCCCCGCAAGACCCACTGAGGTCTGTGCAAGGTGGCCTGTATTGGGGCATGGCATCCTGCTTGTGTGGCCTTCTCTGTGGCACGTGCTGGGCAGAAAGGCTGCCATCACCACACTGAGATCAACAAGAAGATCTATAAGATTGGCGAGCGCTGCCTTATCACAGACGGCAAGCTGATCAAGAACAATGCTTCCACTGACTATGACCTGCCTGAAAGAGCATCAACCCTCTGGGTGGCTTTGTCCGCTATGGGGAAGTGACCAATGACTTTGTCATGCTGAAAGGCTGTGTGGTGGGAACGAAGAAGCGGATGCGCACACTCCGCAAGTCCTTGCTGGCGCAGACAAAGCGGCGGACTGTGGAGAAGATTGACCTTAAGTTCATTGACACCACCTCCAAGTTTGGCCATGGTCACTTCCAGACCATGGAAGAGAAGAAAGCATTCATGGGACCACTCAAGAAAGACTGAATTGCAAAGGAAGAAGGAGCTTAATGCCAGGAGCAGATTTTGCAGCTGGTGGGGTCTCAATAAAAATTATTTTCCACTGGGGACAAAAAAAAAAAAAAAAGAGTGTGTTGTTAATTACCACATAATTGTGATTTTCCCAGTTTTCCTTCTGTTACGGATTTCTAATTTTAGTCTATTGTGCTTGGGAAAAAAAGCTTGGTATCATTTCAGTCTTCTTAAATTTGTTCAGACTTGTTTTATGACTTAATATGTGATCTGTCCTGGAGAATGTTCTGTGTGCAGTTGAGAAGACTGTGTATTCTGCAATTGTTAGGTGGAATATTCAGTATATGTGTGTTCTATTCATTATTGAAAATGGAGTACTGACATCTTCTATTGTATTGCTATTTTTCCTTTCAGTTCCGTCAGTGTTTGCTTTATATATTTAGGTGCTCTGATGTTGAGTGTATATATGTTTATACTTGTGTTATCTTTCTGATGAATTGACTCTTTTATCATATGACCTTCTTTGTCTCTTGGGATGGTTTTTAATTTAAAGTCTATATTGTCTGATAGTATGGCCACAACTGTGCTCTTTTGGTTGCTATCTGCATGGAGTATATTTTCCTGTTCCTTCACTTTTAGCCTGTGTGTCCTTAAATCTAAAGTGAGTCTCTTGTAGATAGCATATAGTTGGATCTTATTTTTAAAATTAATTCAGCCACTATATGTCTTTTGATTAGGGAGTTTACTGCATTTACATTAAATTATTGATAGAGAAAGACTTACTAGTTCCATTTTGTTAATCGTTTTCTTTCTCACAGTTCTTTCGTCCCTTTTCTCCTCTCTTGCTGTCTTCCTTTGTAATTTGTTGATTTTGCTTTGATCCTTCATTTTTTTTTCTTTTTCTTTTGTGTATCTTCTATAGGTATTTTCTTTGTGGTTACCAAAGTCTTACATAAAATAACTTATAGCTACAGCAAAAGCAATTTTAAAAATAGACAAACAGGACTGCATCAAACTAAAAAGCTTTTGCACAGCAAAGGAAACAGTTAAGAGAATGAACTGGTAATCTATGGAATAGGAGAAAATATTTGTAAACCATGTATCTAATGAGGGGTTAATATCCAAAGTATATAAGGAACACCTGCAAATCAACAGCCAAAAGAAAAAAAAGAAAAAAAAAATCCCCAAAACAAAAAACAAATAACCTGGTTAAAACATGGGTAAAGGACTTAAATGAACATTTCTTAAAACATACAAATGTGTAAGGTGCTGTATATGAAGAGATATTCAATATCGCCAGTCATCAGGAAAATCCAAATCAAAACCACAATGACTTACCACTTCATATCTGTTAGGATGGCTGATATCAAAACAAAACAAATTGTAACAGGTGTTGGAGAGGATGTGGAGAAATTAGAACCCTGTACACTGTAGATGGGCATGTAAAATAGTGTAGCCGTTGTGGAAAATAGTATGGAGATTCCTAAAAAAAAAAAAAAATAGAATTACCATATGATCCCACTTCTGGGTGCATATCCAAAGGAAATGAAATCAGAATCTTGAGGAGATCCCATGTTCACAATAGCATTAATCACAATAGCCAAGATACATAAACAAGATGTATAAACATCGATAGATAAATGGATAAAGAAAATGTAGTATATACATACAATGGAATATTATTCCACCTTAAGGAGGTCCTGGTGTATGTGACAACATGGATGACCCTATAAGACATTAAAATAATTCAGTCACAGAAGGACAAATACTGAATGATTTCACTTACGTGAAATATCTAAAAATAGTCAAATTCAGAAAACAGAGAGTAGAATGGTGATTGCCAAGGACTGGGAGGAAGGGGGAATTGGGAATTGATGTTACATAGGTATCACAGGCAAAGCAGGTAATTCAATATTAGGAAATTTATGAATAAGTTTTTACATTAGTAGATCTAATGGAGAAGTCATAATTCATTAAGCTCCAAAAAGTATTTGGGAATTAAAAAATCTGTAATTAAAAATATTTCTTTAGAAGAATATTTCTTTACAGTAGAATAATACCTCAAATATGATAAAGAATATGTATTTGAAATTTGCAATCAGCATAATAAAGGCAAATACTTTTGTTATGCATATAAAACATTTGTGAGAGAAGTCATATAATGTGGTGGAGTAGGGAACTCTAGGACTTTTACAAAAACACCTAATTAGCTTCCAGAAACTATCAGAATTAATTTTTATAGAACTCTGGAATTTAGTTAACATTAAAAAAACAGGAAAAGTAAGGAGCTGTAGCACTGCAGAAAAACACGATGGCACCTTAAATTGCTCACCTACCATTCCTTGTGCCTAGATTAATAATGGCTTTGAAAACGGCAGCTTACACTCATGGTGCAGGCTGTTAGCACCGGAAGGGTTAGTACAGATCTTGCTCTCAAAAGATTGTGATTGTTTTAACCTGTCTGAAGTCTCTGAAGGACCGGTATAGAGCTTCCTTTTGTTTTACACAACTCAGAGCTTTCCGGGGACTGGGGTGGCTTATCCGTCATCACGTGTCAAAAGTATTTAAAAGCCAGAGTATCAACTGTAGAAGTCTGAGTCGGGATAAAAATTAGGACAATGAATAGGTAGACAAAAAGCCAGGAAGGAACAGTTGAAAAGGAGATACAGGGTGGTATAAGGACTTTTAAATGCTTTTGTATATGCTGAGAAATTGAGAATGCTATGTACATGCCTAGGATTGGACAACTCCTCACAGAAGGCTTGAGAAGACCCTAAGCTTTCACCACTAGCTGACCTTCCGGCTCTGCCTAACTAAGTAGGATGTGAAGGTTAAGATAGAGTTGTAAACAGTCTGGCTAAGTTTTGATGAAATGCCACAACACAGAGCAAAAAAGACTGGGAGTGGTTTTTTTTTCTTTTCTATTACCTTTTTTCTTTCCTTGGCTGCAGGTGTTTAAGGAAACGGTCAAAACAGTAGTTGACCCTGAAGCTAAGTGAGCACAGACTTCACTTCCATGTACAACAAAGAATGTAAACTTTATGAAATAGTCAGTAAACAACACTTACAACAAGCAGTAACAGCAAACTCCAGGGAAGGGGGAGAATTCCAGTATCGAGAGTTGTCACATTATAATATTCAATATGTCCAGTTTTCAACAAATTATAAGGCATGCAAAGAAATAAAGAAGTGTGACTCATTCAGAGGAAAAAAGAGAAATTAGTGAAACTATCCCTGAGGAAGCCCACCTTAAATGTACTCAATGAACTAAACAAAACCATCAGCAAAGAACTAAAGGGAACCAAGAAAAGGATTTTTCACCAAAAAGAAATATCAACAAAGAAATTATAAAAAGGAAACAAATAGAAATTCTGCAGCTGAAAAGTACAGTAACAAAAATTCATTAGAGGGGTTCAATAGCTGATTTGAGTAGTCTGAACAAAGAATCAGTGAACTTGAAGAAAGGTCAGTTGATGTATTCATTTGAGGAGCAGAAAGAGAAAAGAATAGAGAAAATGAACAGGGCTATGGGACATCCCCAAGCATACCAACATATGCATTATGGGATTCTTAGAGGGAAGAGAGAGAGAGACAGAGAGAGAGCAAAAGGGGCAGAAATAACATTTGAAGAAATAATGGTTGAAAACTTCCCTAATTTGATGAAAAATGAACTCCAAATGGGTTAAACTCAGAGACCCACACCACGACCTATTATAGTCAAATTGTTAAATACTTAGCATAGTTACTGGTTCTATTAGTAGAAATATACTTTCCCTAATGAAGTCAGCTTTAACAGATTTTTTTTAAACAAGTGTTTCCAAAAGCTTATTGATTTTTAAGTAAGTTTTGTGTCACATGGTAATATATTTCTTTTATTTGTAGAAAGTAAATTTTTACTTGTTAGTGCTTGTTGACTCTGTGTGTGTGTGTGTCTGTGTGTGTGTCTGTGTATTGGTTTACGTGATGGTGAAGAACTACTTATTTCTTTTTTGGTTTGTTATATGAGGTCTTTGACATTGTTTGTGACAGGGTCTTGCTCCGTCACCCAGGCTGGAGTGTAGTAGCTATATCATAGCTTACTGCAACGTCCGCCTCCCGAGCTCAAGCTATCTTTCCACCTCAGTCTCTCAAAGTGCTGGTATTACAGGCTTGAGCCACTGCACCTGGCTGATGTGTCATTAAGCTGGACAATGAAAGAATAATATAACCTGATAAAACTCATGTAGATCTGTTGAGAAGAGAGAATTAATTTTAATTGTGAAATAGTCTCTGGAAATTAGTAAAAGACGTATTTTAGCTAACCAGTAATTTCATAACTTTATCTCAGTATAATTTACTGTAATACATAAGGTTTGCCCATTTAAATTGTATAGTTTGTTGACAGAATTTTACAATAACATAATTTTAGAACTTTGTTGTCATTCTCCCCTCTTCCCCAATTCCCTAGCCCTAGGCAAACACCAGTTCACTTTCTCTCCCTATGGATTTGCCAATTCTGAACATTTTATGTAAGTAGAATTGTAATATATGATCTTTTGTGACTGCCTTCTTTTACATGTTATAATGTTTTCAAGAGTCATTCATGTTATGTTGTAACATGAATCAGTACTTCATCCCTTTTTATTGCCAAATTATATTTCATTGTGTAGATATTTTGTTTACTCATTAGTTGGTAGATATTTGGATTTTCCACTCTGGCCATTGTGAATAGTGCTGCTATGAACATAGTAAGTGTTTATGTGTTAGAGTGGATGTTTCATTTCTCTTGGGTATATACCTAACAGTAGAATTACTGGGACATATGGTAACTCCATGTTTAACATGTTGAGGAACTTCTAAACTTTTTTCTGAAGTAGCGGCGCTATTTACATTCCCACAAGCAGTGTATGAGTGTTTTAGTTTCTCCATATCCTTTCCAACATTTGTCATTTTCTGTCTGTTTGATTATAGCCTGATGTTAAGGGTATTTATTGTGATTTTTTACCTAGTTCTAACAACTAATGGTGTTGAACATCTTTTCATGTGATTATTGGTCATTTATCTTTTCTGATGAAATACCTATTCAAATTCTTTACCCATTTATAAATTTATCACTTTACAAATTTGTTGAATTGCAAGCATTCTTTTTATATTCTGGATATTAGGCCATTAGCAGATTTATGGACTTACCAATATATTCTCCCATTCTGTAGGCTTTTTCACTTTCTTGATGGCGACCTGTGATACACAAAAGTTTTAAATTCTCATGAACTCTAACTTATCAGACTTTTGGTGACATATCTAAGAAATCAGTGCATAACCCAGGGTCACAAAGATTTAGTGTTTTCTTCTGAGATACTTAGTTTTGGTTTTTATGTTTAGATCTGTGGTTCTATTTGAGGCAATTAAAATTTTTATTATTTTTTTAAAATTGTGATAAAATATACATAAAATTTATCATCTTAACCATTGTTAAGTATATGGTTCAGTGGCGTTAAGTACATTCATGTTGTTGTTTAAACAATCTCTATAGCTTTTTAAATCTTGCAATACTGAAACTCTATATCCATTAAACAACAAGTCCTCATTTTCGCCTTTCCCTTTGCCCCTAGCAACCACTATTCTACTTTCTGTCTCTATGAATTTGACTACTCTGAGTACCTTATAGTAGCGGAATCACACAGTGTATGTCTTTTTGCCAGTGGCTTATTTCATTCAGTAGTATATTCTTAAAATTCACCCATGTTGTACTATATGTCAGAATTTCCTTCTTTTTTAAGACTATATTATTCCATTGTGTGTGTATGCTACATTTTGTTTATCCATTCATCTGTTGATAGACACTTGAGTTGCTTCTGCCATTTGGCTATTGTGAATAATGCTGCTGTGAACATGTTTGTTATAATTATCACTTCAAGATCCTGCTTTCACTTCTTTTGGGTATAGACCCAGAAGTGGAATTGCTGGATCATATAGTCATTCTATTTTTAAGTTTTTGAGGAAGCCCCATGCTGTTTTCCATAGGGGCTACACTTTACATTCCCACCAGCAGTGTTCGAGGGTACTAATTTCTCCACATCCTTGCCAATACTTGTTATTGTCTGGTGTTTTTTTTTTTTTTTTTTTCCTTCTTAATAATGTCTATTCTAACAGGTCTGAAGTGATGTCTCATTGTGGTGGTGATTTTCATTTCCCTTATGATTAGTAATATTGAGCTTGTTTTCATTTTTGGTTAGTCAGTTGTATACCTTCTCTGGAGAAAAGTCTATTATTTTTGCCTATCTTTGAATCAGGTTTTGTTGTTGTTCTTGAGTTGTAAGCGTCCTTTATATGTTCTGGATATTAACCTTATATCAGATACAGTGAGTTTTTGCCTCACATCTTTGTTAAGTTCTTGGAAACTGTGACTTGTAAGTGAAGTGATGTATAGCATAGCAAAACAAACTGATATAGGTTAATTGATAAAACAAGAGTTAAGCTCCTGTGGTATTCAGTACATTGTTTCACTTAAAGATGCAGTTTCTAAGTACCTATTGATGATGTTAAGTGAAGACTTATTGTACATGATTAGCAAATATTTTCTCCCATTTTCTAGGTTACCTTTTCACTCTGTTGATGGTGTCCTTTGGTGAACAGAAGTTTTAAATTTTGATTTAGTCCAATTTATTGACTTTTACTTTTGTTGCCTTTCTCCTTTGAGTCAGTTTTTGTGTATGGCATGCAAGTTCATCTTGGCATATAGATATTGAGTTGTTTCAGCACTGTTGAAAAGACTTCTTTCCCCATTGAATTTTCATGACCTCTTTGTTGAAAATCAATTTACTATAAATGTTAGTGTTTATTTCTGGACTGTCAGTTCTATGTCATTGATCTACATGACTGTCCTTATGCCAGTAATGCACTGTCTTGATTGTTGTAGCTTTGTAAGTTTTGAAATCGGAAAGAGTGAGTCCTCCAACGATGCCATTTTCAATATTATTTTGGCTATTCTGGCGTTACAATCTGTTTGTCAATTATTGAAAAAAAAAAAAGAAAGCTAGGCTTTTAATAAGAGTTGAATCTCTAGATTACTATGGGAAATATTACCACTTGAATCTCTAGATTAGTTTAGGAGGTATTAATCTTTCAGTCCATAAAAATGGGCCAGTTTTCTAGTTATTTTGCTCTTCTTTCATTCAGTTTTTTTTTTTTTAGTATACTAGACATATATTTATTTTGCTAAATATATTCTCAAGTATTTAATTCTTTTTCTTGCTGTTGTAAATTGAATTTTTTAAAAAATTTATTTTTGGATTGTGAATTGCTAGTGTATTAAAATACAGTTGATTTTTATATATTGCACTGGCATCCTGCAGCTTTGCTGAACTTATTAGTGTTAGTTGGTTTGGCCTGGTTTCCTTGGGATTTTCTGTAAGAAGTTCATGTCATCTGCAAATAGATATAATTGTACTTCTTTCTTTCCAATCTAGATGTCTTTAATTTCTTACCTGGTTGCCCTGGCAATTTGGTAACATCAATATGATATTGAATAGAAGAGGTAAGAATGGCCATACTTGTCTTGTTCTTGATTGTAGGAAGAAAGCATCTAGTTTTTCATCATTCGGTATTATGTTAGTGCTGAGTCTTTCATAGGTACTCTTCATCTGGTTAAAGAAATCCCTTCCATTCCTAGTTTGCTGAGAAATTTTATCACAAAAACATATTGGGTTTTGTTGAACTAAACAGTAACTTTTAAGAGCCTGTTACATATCTAATGACATGTGATTGGTTTGTTGTAAAATTACCTGGAAATGGTTATGTGAAAATACTGAAATTTACTTGGCAAATACTAAAGCTACAAGAATTTTTTAAATGGAAAGGTTGTTATGAAAGCTTGAAAGATGCGATGGGAGGAGGTAGAGCATGAAGTGTTAAAAAATTTGTAACGTGATTGTTGGAAAGGAAGAAGAGAAATATATTTTGGGATGAGTGTAAATCTACTCATGCATACTTTTAAGAGGCTGGAATAGGTTTATGTTTCTCAAATTTGGATATTTACTTCCCACTGATATGTCAGGAGGTATCAAGGCCATAAGAAACCACAAAATAAAAACTTTTTTTTTTGCCCAAATAAAATTTTTACATCTATTTTTATCAGCTAATGACAGAATATTTATTTATTTATTTATTTATTTATTTATTTATTTTACTTTAAGTTCCAGGATACATGTGCAGAACGTGCAGGTTTGTTACATAGGTATTACATGTGCCATGGTGGTTTGCTGCACCTATCAACCCATCATTTAGGTTTTAAGCCCTGCATGCATTAGGTATTTGTCCTATGCTCTCCCTCCCCTTGCCCCCCACCCCCCGAAAGGCCCCGGTGTGTGATATTCCCCTCCCTGTGTCCATGTGTTCTCATTGTTCAACTCCCACTTATGAGTGAGAACACGTGGTGTTTAATTTTCTGTTCCTGTGTTAGTTTGCTGAGAATGATGGCTTCCAGCTTCATCCATGTCCTGGCAAAGGACATGATCTCATTCTTTTTTTAGGGCTGCATAGTATTCCATGGTGTATATGTGCCACATTTTCTTTATCCAGTCTATCATTGATGGGCAAAAAAATGACATTTTTAAAGTGTTAATTTTGTCCAGTGGTATTTAATTTTTTAAGCCAACATTTTGTTTTGAAATAATTGTAGTTTCACATGTAAGAAATAATATAGAGATATCACATATACTCTTCACCCAATTTCCCTAAGTGGTAACATCTTGCAAAACTAAGACAATATATCACAACCACAACATTGATACTGATACAGCCAAGATACTGAACATTTATATCACTACAAAGGTGGCTCATGATACCTTATAATAACTACTTCCACTTCTTTCCTGCCCTACCTTTTACTGACCTCCTGGCACCACTAATTTGTTCCTTTGTTTCTGTAACTTTGTAATTTCAAGAATGTCATGTAAATGATAACATACAGTATGCAACCTTATTGCATTGGCCTTTTTTTCACTCAGCCAATACAATAATTATCTGGAGATTCATCCAGATTGTTTTGTTTATCAGTGGTTTTTCTTTTTTATTGATGTATAGTATTCCAAAGTATGAATGCACCACAGTTTAAATATTCACTATTGAAGGACATCTTGGTTGTTTCCCAGTTTTTGGCTTTACCAGTACAGCTGCTGTAAACATTCATGTGCAAGTTTTTGTGTGAATATGTCTTTGTTTCTGTGGGGTAAATGCCCAGGATTGCAATTGCTGGGTCATGTGGTAGTTGCATGTTTAGTTTTTTGAAAGACAGGCCACACCTTTTTCCAGGGTGGTTATATCATCTACATTCCCACAAGCAGTGTGTGAGTAATCTATCTACTCCATGTCCTCACCAGCATTTGATACTGTCACTATTTTTATTCTAGTCATTCTAATAGGTATGTAGTGGTATCTTAATAAGTTTTAAATGTGTATTTCCTTAATGGTTTTTGAGGTTGCACATTTTTTCATATCTCTGTTTCCAATCTCTGTATCCTGTTAAGTGAAATGTCTGCATCTTTTGCCCATTTTCTAATTGGATTATCTTTTTTTTCCTTTTTACTGTTGTGAGTTCTATATATATGTTAGATGTAAGTCTAGCAGATATAAGACCTTTATTGGATATGAGGTTTACAAATGTTTTCTTTTAACCTGTAGCTGGGAGAGAGGGGAACATTTTGTTTTGCTGGATAGTCTAGGCTTCCCTAGACTTTCACGGACACCACAAGGAAGGGGTAGCACTTTATCAGCCAGCAGAGATGAAAGTGAGTCCTGGGCTCCTCACTTGGCCTTTGCTGGTGTTGTTGTGAGTGGGTCTAGTTTTTTCTTTGGTGGTTGGCTGGAGTAGAACGGTTATTAGTTAAAAGTTTTCTCTCTTGCTAGGCTTTACCTCTGCTGGGTTTTTAGCTAGTGAGAAAAACTTTTGTTAGGGTTTTTTGTCTGTGTCCATTGCTCCTGGGTTGCTGACTTCTTCAGCTCCAAGTCTGTGTATGCAAGAGATAAAGAAAACCCAGGGATTACACCACAGGATAATTCCTCAGGTCCCTAGATCTCTAGCTAATCTACCTTCTTCTCTACATCTTTCAGATTCTTCTTGCATTTGTTTTATATATATTTTCCAGTGGGCTTAATTTTACTTAGCAGGAAAAATAGAGAAAAGTACATCTGGCCAGGTGCGGTGGCTCATGCCTGTAATCCCAGCACTTTGGGAGGCTGAGGCAGGAGGATCTCTTGAATCCAGGAGTTGGAGACCAGCCTGGGCAACAAAGTGAGACCTGGTCTCTACAAAAATAAAAATAAGAAAATTAGCCCGGTGTAGTGGCATGTGCCTGTTGCCCCAGCTATCCAGGAGGCTGAGGTGTTAGGATCACCTGAGCCCAGGAGGTCGAGGCTTCAGTGATAGTGCCACAGCATTCCAGCCTGGGTGACACAGCAAGACCCTGTCTTAAACAAAGAAGAAGAGAAAAGAAAGAAAAATGTCACAGGATCCTCAGGGTGTCACTTTGCAAGCTGGAAACCACTGTGGCCAGCAGCACCTTCTGCCTGAATATTGTTCACACATGCTGGGCACGTTCTGCCCACTCGGCCTGGCAGGCTGTGCTTGGCTCACACTACTGTGCTGGATCTTACACCTGCCAAACATGAGCCAGGCGTGGAGTGGTGAGGGGTGTGTGGGCAAGCAAGTGTGGGGTCTAGCCACTGCACACAGCCAGGCATGCTGACTGCTGTGGTGGGGCAGGCAGCTCCAGGTGCTGGCACTGGTGCTGGCTCCATGCAAGGCTGCAGCTGGACCAAATGTACTGTGCATGGCTTCTGCTGTGGGGACCCACATCTGGGCAAGGGAAACATGGTGGCAACTGGAAGCTTGGAAGACACCAGGAACCACAAAACCCCAAAGAGGGTGTCATATTCCTGGCTCGGGGAACCCCTAGGTCTGGGCTTCCTGAAAGGCCGCAGCTTCTCTCCTTCTTGTTCCCTGCAACATGACAGGCAGGGAGGGGGCACGTTTCAGCCCTGTTTGTGTTACAACTCTTTTAGTCCCACCACTTGGTAGATCCTGAGTTCTTGTCCTACATCCATGAAGAATGAGGTATGTGGACAACTAGAGGGTGAGCAAGATGGAGAGGAGCTTCATCGAGTGGCAGAACAGTTTTCAGGAGACCCAAAGTGGGTAGCTCCTTTCTGCAGGCAGGTCGTCCCAACGAGCGTACAGCTGTCAGTGGGGAGGAGAACCTAGAGTGAGTAGCTCCTGTCCGCAGGCAAAGTTGTCCCATTGTCTGTGCAGCCCTCAGCAGAGAGGAGACCCAGAACGGGTAGCTCCTACCTGCATGCAGGTCATCCCATAATCTGTGCCTCTTTCAGCAGAGAGGAAATCCGGAGTGGGTAGCTCTATTATCTCTCTAAGTCTGGCTGAGTCCAGGATTTTTATGGGCTTCAGAGGGGAGTAGGTGCATGCCAATTGGTCCATGTGCAGGCCCAGAAAAAGCACCATAAGTTCGCCTGTCCACGGAACTGACAGCCCTTCAAGTAATCCCTGGCTTAAAGGTATGGCTTCATCGGTGACCTTCCCCTTTCTGCCCAGGAGCCTGTCTGCCATCTCTCTGCTATCTCTGGTACCTGTGGCACACCCAGGCTGTTCATGTCAAGGGGCACCTGCAGGCCCACTCTGAGCTGCCCTCAGCCCTCCCCACCCCTGCAACCTCCCTCCTATGCTTGTGGGTGCCCAGTGTCTGGAGGGGCGGCAGGGGGCTGGTGTATCAGTGCTGCCCCAAGTGTGCGCACACCTGGCTGGGTCGCGACAGTGCCTGGGCTTGGCCTCAACTTTGCTCTGTAATGGGAACAGGCACCAGGAGTGGGGAGAGGCCAGACAGCGGGAGCAGGCACTTTTGAACCTGCAAGGGCAGGGGGAGTTCCCAGGTCCCCGAGACTGCAGGGTTGCCTGGGTCCACAGCTGTGACTGGGCAGCTGCAGCTGTGCCCAGGAGGGTGGGGTTCCTGCCCCTCCAACTCAGAAGGGAATGGGACTTCTGCCTGTTCCCAGCTCCCACCAACTCAGTAGAGTGAGCAGCCCTAGCTGCTCCTTCCCCACTGCAACTGGCATCATGGCAGCAGCCACTGCAGATGGGATGCTGCTGCCATCAAAAATACATCTAGTTCATCACCTGGGGAGATGCAGCATAATTTAAAATATTTTAATCTGGAATCAGATGTTGCTATATCATCAAATAGAATGCCAAGTTATAATGACTTTATAGGTAAAACACAGAAACCTCAAAGAAATGTTATATTTATGGTTGCTTTGAGGTACTGATCCTGTGTGCCAGGAAACAAGGTCTTGGATTTTTTCCCACCATTCTTAGGGGTCAAATATTAGGATGTAGGTCAAGCTTCTGTAATAGCCAAACATACAGTGGCTCAAATAAGATAGAATTTTATTTTCACGTCATTGTTCATGTTAGGAAAGTGAGCTCTGTTCCTTGATGTCATCCAGGAACCCAAGCTGGCTGGACAACTAAACTGTCCTTACACATGACTTCCAAGGTTGTTCCATGCATTACCATTTTTAGCAGGTGAGAAAAATAGTGGTGATAGTGGTGGTGATACTGGGGGAACACGCAGGTCAAGAACTTGATTTTAAGGACAGGAAGCGGAAGTTGTACTTGATGCCTTCAGTCATATCCCATTGGCCTCAACCTAGTCATGTGGTCACAACTAGCTGCAGAAAAAAACAGGAAATGTCTCCCACTTGGTGGCTATGTGGCTAGCAAAAATTTGAGTAAGGGATTTCTATTATTAAAAGAAAGATGAGAATACTTGTGGACAATAATAATCTTTGCTGTTTACTTTAGTGGGAAATTTTTAGGAGAACTCTCTGAGTGGTCTTAATCATTGTGAGCCTTTTTATTCTGTAGTTAACTATCTTTTTTTCTTGCTGTGCTCTTTGTCCTGTTATATTATAAAAGAATGACAAGATCTTCATGGTCTAATCTTAGCGTGGGTATAAAACTAATGTGTATGTAACTACTTGGACTACTTCAAATAAGAACCTGTTTGTTTATATCTTCTAGGGTTTACAGAGTCCACGTGGAATGGGATGCAAGCCAGAAGCTGTATGTAGTCACATTATTATTGAGAGCCATGAAAAAGGATGTTTCCGGACTCTAACGTCTGAACAACCACAACTAGATAGCCACTCTTGTGCTTTCAGATCTGCTGAACCCTCAGAAATGACCAGAGGACGTCAGAGCCCATCATCATGTGGAGCCAAGCACGTCAACCTTTCTGCATCCTTAGACCAGAACAACTCCCATTTCAAAGTTTGGAATTCCTTGCAGTTAAAAAGTCATTCCCCTTTTCAAAACTTTATACCTGATGAATTCAAAATCAGCAAAGGTCTTCGAATGCCATTCCATGAAAAGATGAACCCTTGGCCGTCAGAATTAGTAGAACCTGCTTTTGTGCCACCTAAAAAAGTGGATTTTCGTTCTTCAACACAAATGCCATCCCCAGAACCCGTGAAAAAGTTTACTACCTCCATCACTTTTTCATCTCACCGACATTCTAAATGCATTTCCAATTCCTCTGTTGTTAAGGTTGGTGTTACTGAAGGTAGCCAGTGTACTGGAGCATCTGTGGGGGTATTTAATTCTCATTTCACTGAAGAACAAAATCCTCCTAGAGATCTTAAACAGAAATCCTCTTCCCCTTCATCATTTAAAATGCATAGTAATTCACCAGATAAAGAAGTGACTATTTTAGCAGAAGGTAGAAGGCAAAGCCAAAACTTACCTGTTGATTTTGAGCATTCTTGTCAAGAAGAAAAACCCTTAGAAAGATCAGATTTTACAGGCAATCATTCTGAGCCCAGTACCAGTGCAAATTGTAGCAATTTCAAGGAAATTCAAATTTCTGATAACCATACCCTTATTAGCATGGGCAGACCAAGTTCCACCCTAGGAGTAGGCAGATCGAGTTCCAGACTAGGAGTAAAAGAGAAGAATGTAACTGTAACTCCAGATCTTCCTTCTTGCATTTTTCTTGAACAACGAGAGCTCTTTGAACAAAGCAAAGCCCCACATACAGATGACCCTGTGAGGAAACACCATTCTCCCTCTCCTCAACATCAGGATTATGTAGCTCCAGACCTACCTTCTTGCATTTTTCTTGAACAACGAGAACTCTTTGAACAGTGCAAAGCCCCATATGTAGATCATCAAATGAGAGAAAACCATTCTCCCCTTCCTCAAGGTCAGGATTCTATAGCTTCAGACCTTCCTTCTCCCATTTCTCTTGAACAATGCCAAAGCAAAGCGCCAGGTATAGATGACCAAATGAGTAAACACCATTTTCCCCTTCCTCAAGGTCAGGATTGTGTAGTGGAAAAGAATAATCAACATAAGCCTAAATCACACATTTCTAGTATAAATGTTGAAGCCAAGTTCAATAATGTGGTCTCCCAGTCAGCCCCAAATCAGTGTACCTTAGCAACATCTGCATCTACTCCTCCTTCAAATAGAAAAGCACTTTCTTGTGTTCGTATAACTCTTTGTCCCAAGACTTCTTCCAAGTTGGATAGTGGAACTTTAGATAAAAGATGTCATTCATTGGATGCTGCTTCTAAAGCGAGGATGAATAGTGAGTTTAACTTTGACTTACATGCTGTATCTTCGAGATCACTGGAACCAACCTCCAAATTATTGACCAGTAAACCTGTAGTACAGGATCAAGAATCTTTAGGTTTTCTAGGACCTAAATCTTCACTGGATTTCCGAGTCGTACAGCCTTCTCTTCCAGACAGTAACACTATTACTCAGGACTTGAAAACTATACCTTCTCAGAATAGCCAGATAGTAACCTCAAGGCAAATACAAGTGAACATTTCAGATTTCGAAGGACATTCCAATCCAGAGGGGACCCCAGTATCTGCAGATCGGTGAGTCTCATTGTGATAACAAGCAAGCTGGATGGACTTTGTGATAAAATGTTTCAAATACTTGAGTAGATATTGGTTCTTGGGGAAAAGGCTGTGTGATTTCTCTGAGTGGAGGTTGTGTCTGACTAATTACTAGAAGTCTTTCAAGGAATAAGTAAGAGAGAACATATGATAGTAATGCATTTATACTTTCAGAGGGGTCTTGGCAAGACTTGACATCAAGTGTTTTAAAAAACTGAATGACCTTGAAAGGAATCTTTGATCATCCAATGATACAATTACTAATTTATTTACTATGTTGGACATATGCTGAGGATCTCCTTTGGAGGTTGTGCCCATGTACATGGGTGCTTGGTCACTCTCTCTCTTTCCCTCTCCCTCTCTCTCTCTCTCCTCCAGCTCTGGTTCCATTTCATGACTTCTTTCAAATATTTAGTGTTTACAAAGAAAGTAGCTTTATAGTGGAAAATCCTGGCAGATACCAGTTTAGTCAAATGATGAAAATTAGCATCACCAGTAAAACATCAGTCAACATAGTGTGCTTCCTGATGTGATGCCCCACTTCATAGAGTATTGTAGGAAAGGAAACCCAATTCAGGCATAAGTCCGTTAGATTTATATCATTCAGCCCAGTTTTAGCACTTTGCCATTAATTCGGTTTTACTTTAATGAGCCTCTCACCATATGGTGAAACAGAACTACCTGTATGTTTAGTATTTTACCTTATAGTTGAAGAGGCATCGTACCACAGTGGAGAGCACTAGGCTTGGAAAGGAGGGTGAGAGAAATGTTTATTTATAATCTACATGTGGTAGTAGTCATGGCAATAAGGAACTTACATATGCTATCTTACTTAGTTCTCATAATGATCCTATGAAGCAGGTGATGAGATCTCTATTTTCCTGCTGGAAAACTTGTGCCAAAAGATGTTGTTTGTAGGCAAGATAAAGAGTATTCAAATGCATTCTGTTTAATCAAAGTAAGGAGTTGTTCCACTACACAGTACTCTGTCCTAGAATTTGAACCCTCATTCCAACTCTTCTTCCAGCCACGATCCTGGACAACTCATTTAATATCCTTGGCACTCATACATAGAAGGAAAGGGTTGGAATGCTGAAAAGTCCCTTACAGCTCTAAAAGTTAGGGATTGCGATAATAGATTGGGGCAAAAAAAAAAAAAGGTCAATCTCTGGTTTCAGTGTTATAAATAGTTGAGTGCTATAGAGATCAGTACTGATACCTTTAAAAATTTTCTTTGAGACAGAGTCTCGCTCTGTCACCCAGACCAGAGTGCAGTGATGTGATCTTGGTTCACTGCAACCTCCGTCCCTGGGTTCAAGCCATCCTCCCACCTCAGCCACCCGAATAGCTGGGACCACAGGCGTGCACCACAATGCCTGGCTAATTTTTGTATTTTTAGTAGAGATGAGGTTTTGCCATGTTGGCTAGGCTGGTCAGTATTGATATTTAAAAAAAAGAAAAGTTTAGAAATGAAAACATTGACAATTTCATATATAATTTTTAAACTCTTCGAAGGTTAAATGCTAAGGTATTGTACTGAATACCTTAAAAGTCAGGAAAAGCTATGAATGAGAAGAAAATAATAGATGATTATAAATGTGAACTAACAATAATGCCATTTGCTCAGGGTGTACATTTGTAGTGGATGCTTATACTTAGTGTAATAATCAGAAATAGATATAATTACCTCAGTTGTGGATTTAAAAAACCTGAGACTTAGAGAAGATATTTTGCCCAAGATCACATGGCCATTGAGCATTGGAGGTGGCATTTGAACCTAGGTTTATCGAACTCCATAGTCCGTAAATAATTCAAACCACACACACACACACACAGATGCATAAAACATATATATAAGTAAATATATATATAATAGTTTATAAAATATTTATAAAGGACTGGGCGCGGTGGCTCACACCTGTAATCCCAGCACTTTGGTGTCCAAGGTGGGCGGATCACCTGAGGTTGAGAATTTGAGACCAGCATGACCAACATGGAGAAACCCCATCTCTACCAAAAATACAAAATTAGCCAGGCATGGTGGCGCACGCCTATAATCCCAGCTACTCAGGAGGCTGAGGCAGGAGAATCGCTTGAACCAGGGAGGCGGAGGTTGCAGTGAGCTGAGATTGCGCCACTGCACTCCAGCTTGGCAACAAAGCAAGACTCCGCCTCAAAATTTATAAAGTATATGTGTATAAAATATTTATAAAGTATATATGTATAAAATATATTCAAACGTTTCCATTTTGAGATAATTTTAGACTTACAGAGGAGTTGCCGAAATAAATAGCACAGAGAGGTTCTGTATTATCTGTTGCTGTGTATCGTGTTACCCTGAAATGTAGCAACTTAATAAACATCTGAAAATTTATGTAGGTCAGAAATCTAAATGTAGCTTATTTGGGTACCTCTGGCTTAGGTTGTCTCACAAGGTTGCAAACAAGGTATTGGCTACAAATGTGGTCTCATCACAGGGCTTGCCTGAGAGGATGTGCTTCCAGCCTCACTCACATGGCCATGGCTTTGGCCAGAGACATGGGCTTTTTGCTTCTATAAGGCACTCATAATATGACACCTAAACTTCCCTTAGTGAGGCAGTGAGAGGGCAAGAGAGGGTGCCCAAGACAAAAGCCACAGTCTTTTTGTTACCTACCCTTGGATGTGTCATCTCGTCACCTCTGCCACATTCTCTTCAGTAGAAATGAGTCACTGTCTAAAGCTCTCACCCAAGGGTTGGGAATTACACAGGGTCCTGAATACCAAGAGGTAGGTGTCATTGGGGGATGTTGTCCATGTAACCTTTACTGAAGCTTCCATTTAACATCTTACCATAATATCATAACCGTAAAATATTTATCAAAATAAGAAATTCTTCTTGGTATAAAACTATATAACATTGATTTCACCAGGTTTTTCCACAAATGAACTTTTTTGTTTGAGATCCAACCCAGGATTCCATCTGGCATTTTAGTTGTCATGTCTTAGACTCCTCCAATCTATGACAGTTTCCCAGTCTTTTTTTGTCTTCCATGACCTTGACACTTTGAAGAGTGCTAATAAGTTATTTTGAAAAAGCTTTTTCAATTTAGCATTGTTTGATGTTTCAAGGTTAGATTAGGGTTATGCATTCTCAGTGCGTCGCAACAGAGAGCACATTATGTTGATATGCGTTACTGGTGATGTTAACCTTGGTCACTTGGCTAAAGTGGTATCTGCTAAGATTCTCCACTGTAAAGTTACTGTTTTTCCTTTGGAGATACTAAACATTTGAGGGAGATTTTGTTAGACTGTGCAAATAACCTGTTTCTGCTTAAACTTTGAGTACTAATTTTAGCATTCATGAGTGGATCTTGGCTGTAGCAGTTATTACTGTGGTGTTTTAATTTTTTCATGCCTTCCATCTCTTCTACATTTGTTAATTGGAATTCCTCTGTAAGGAGAATTGTTCTTCCCTCATTTATTCTGCCTTAGGTTATTTATTTGCATTATTGTAGACTCATAAGTATTTATTTCATTATTTGGATTATAATCCAATGCTACCATTACTATTTTTGTTGCTCAAGTTCTCTTTTTAGCTATTTGGAGCACTTTCAGGTTGGCTCCTGTACCCTGCCCCAGACCTGGAATCAGCTGTTTCATTAAAAAACCCTCAGTTTTGTTTTTTTTTTTCTTTTTTTTCCTTTTTGAGGTGGAGTCTTGCTCTGTCGCCCAGGCTAGAGTGCAGTGGCATGATCTTGGCTCACTGCAACCTCTACCTCCCAGATTCAAGCAATTCATCTGCCTCAGCCTCCAGAGTAGCTGGGATTACAGGCCCGTGCCACCACGCGCAGCTAATTTTCTGTATTTTTAGTAGAGATGGGGTTTCACCATGTTGGCCAAGCTGGTCTTGAACTCCTGACCTCAGGTGATCTGCCCGTCTCGGCCTCCCAAAATGCTGGGATTTACAGATGTGAGCCACCGTGCCCAGCCAAAAAACCCTCTTATTTTTGAAGGGAGGAAGAAGAATAGTATTTAGAAAGCAAGATGTAAGCACCTGGCATGCTCACTGCTGGTGGGATGTTGCTGTGTTTAGCCTTTCTCAGTGAATAAAGCTAAGAAATATAGGTAGATATGTTAACTTATGTGTATACTCATATCTGTATCTTTTAATGTGTGTGTGTGTTTTAAACCATGTGTCCATATTGATACCTCTGACTCCAGTACGAATACACAGAGTTGATTCTAGCCTTTCCCCTTTCTTTATTTGTAACTTCTGTCTCTAATAGCGATAAACTGGCTCTCATTATCTACAATATATTTACCCTAGTATATAAATAAAGTAGTTTCCGAATTCATAATCCATACCCACATGAAAAACAAATTCTGCAACCAGAGTACAGTGTTTATCTGCAGTTTTGAATTTATCATTAAAATATCTAGACAAAAATGCTGTTTGCTAAAGTTTCTTAAGTCAGCATCTCCCTGCCCCATACTCTTCAGTGTAAGTACATGATTCATTTATAATATAGTTAGATTCGTTAGTCACATTCTGCGTTCCATCTTTGCCTCATATCCTGGTTGACCTTTAAAAATTTATGTACTTCTAAACTTCACTTTCTGTGCTTTACAATTCTATCCATTGCTACAGTTTCATATGAGCAGTTCCATCAATCCCAAAACTCCTCCATGCCGTTCCTTTGGAGACAGTCTTTCCCCTGACCCCTCACTCACCCCCGGCAGTCCCTGGTCTGTTTTCTTCTCTAGAGTTTTGCCTTTGTAGACTGTCACACAAATGGAATCATAAAATATGTAACAGACTTTTGGGTCTGATTTTTTTTACTTTGCAAAATGCGTTTGACTCATCTTGTGTAGATCAGTAGTGCTTTTTTATTGCTGTATTAAAAGCAATAATATTTTATTGTAATTCCATTGTACAGATTACCACAGTTTGTTTATCCATTCACTCATTGAAGGATATTTGAGTTGTTTCTAGTTTG